ATCTTCTGTTCTTTCATATAATGAATTATCTTTCTTTGTGTGTTAATTATTTCTTCCAGTTCTTCAGGTTGGTAGGTGTCATAATATAACTTTTCTTTTTCGTCATCAACCTTCATATTATCTTTTTGATATTTCTTGACTTCAACGAAGGTAGGGTCATTATGAACCGACGGGCTAAAAATGAATATACGGGCGAAGCAGTCCCTATAAACATTTAGGATAAGGTTTTGAATTAAAACTGTTTTGCCACCCGTTGATGAAGCAACAACAATTGAGCGAAAAGGTAGTTTTGGTACATGTTCATATTTAGATTGTTTGAAATCGTAATCAGTTATATTTATTGGTTTTATTATTGGAACATCAGACATAATAAAATAATATTAAAGTTATTTAGAAAATATTTTATATTTATTATTTTATATGAATAGAAGTTATTCGGATTATATTGATATAATAGATAAAGTAGAAAATATAGAACAAGTAATACTAACTGATAATAAAATTAAGAAATGTTGTTATTATTCATTAGAATTAATTAAGTTAGGAATACAATATATTAAAAATATAAATGTTAATATAGATGGGAAGAAAGAAAAAGAATAAGTCCGAGCCAGTTGTTTCTTCGACTGATGAAGAAAAAGAAGAAATTGTTAAAGAAACATCAGTTATTGAGTTTGCTTGTCCAATGTGTAAAAAGATGTTAGAAATGAAAAATGAATTAGAAATACAAAAGAAAGGCAACTGTAAATGTTCGTGTATTCCGTCAAGTTTCAAAATAAGTAGAAATGATAAGAAAATGAATATTGATAAAACTAAAGACAGTATAAACTTAGAAACAGATGTTCATAATATAACTTTTAAATGGGGTCGGCAAGCATCACCATCCGATAGTGGCGATAAGGAAACTCAGGAAACTGTTAAACAAATGATGAAAAAATAGTATTTAAAGAGTAGATTTAACATAATTGCAACATTTAGTTTTAAAAGTTTAGTTTTATAATTTAGTATATATGGAGGAACATTTAGCGAACATTGACAGTAGTTTAGAGTTGTTGTTTCCAAGATTAGAAAAAGTGTTGGAGCAAAATGAAAACATACTGAAAATCTTAAAGAGCTTGAATATTAAACCTACATATGATAACAATAACAATTATCAAGCAAAAGAAGTAGATAGAGACAGTAGCGAATACAAAAATAAACGAAACATTTATGTTAAAAAACTGAATGAAAAAATCATAAAAGAACCTAAACAATCAAGTCTGGATTACTATCAAGTCAAGTATAAAGAAGACACCAAGAAATACGTTTAATCATTAACTAACAAAATTTCGTGTCTCAAAAGCGGTTTGTTTATTTCTGCTACTTTGTAAGTTTTATTACCCATAATATCATATTCAATTTTATCGATATTGAATATTTTATTAGACCATTTAGAGTTATACTCCTTTCTGTCGGTGTAATTACCCCTTTTCTTTTGAAACACTTTTACCTTGTCGTTCTCCACTATTCTGGGATACTTTCTTTTGTTTTTTTCTCGTAGTTTAAGATTGACCTTTACATTTATTTCATTCTCGTCCTTGTGTGCTTCAGACGGTGTCATCCTTGTTGATGAGTGAGATGTGCTGTTATACTGTTTCAATGCCGGCGTTAGGGCGTCGGTCCATTTCATGTTGTTAAACCTAACTCTATCGTGAATTTTGTTTTTCATCGTTCTAATAAAACGCTCGGCCACATTTGCGTGGGTCTTCGTAACGATGTGGTTTATTCCTTCACTGTTGAAGAAATCCTGAACGTGATTTTTAGTTGCAAACGCTCCGTCGTCATCAGAATACACGGACATCGGATAACCCATCTTTTTAAAGCTTGCTCTCAACGCCTTCAAAACGTTCTCTCCGTCTCTTTCCTCCATCGGTATTACATCTGCTAATTTACTGAAGATGTCAATCACGACTAAAGCATACTGTGGAACGTTCTTGTCTTTTGCTAAAGGAGACATATGCATTATGTCTATTTGATATTCATATCGTGCGAATGGAGCGGTATAGGAATTAGTTCCTCTATAATTTTTGATTTGTTTATTTGGCTGTTTCTTTAAGAAAGACTTTACATCGTCTAATGTTATTGTTGGGTCTTCTTCCTTTGCCTTCTTGTGTGTCGCTTGTGTGCTTCCGAAACCCTCGTCTAAGTCGTAATAGATGTTGCTGATTATTTGGTCTTTTGTTAATCTCGCCATTATATTAAATTGTTAGAAAATATTTTTTCAATAAAAACCCCGCCCCTTAACATAAAATAAAAAACTACTTAAAGAAATATTAACTTATTATATTAAGTGAAAATATGACTGAAAATGTCGGAGTGATTGCTGACTTATCAAACTGGGTGCTATCAGACGAAGAAGATGATGATAATGACAGTTATAAAAAGGAATTAGATGACGAGTTAAACAAAATAAAGGATTTCGTCAAAAGACACCCTTTGCCATCAGTTGATGAAAACGAAGAATTCTGGAAAGATGTTATTAACAGGTTTAGGGATAATAGCGGATTAAACTTGATGACAATATACTCATTTGTTAGGTTTGACATCATGAAAGAAATGTATGAAAACCTAACAGATGAAAACATCATAAAAGACTGTGGTAAAAAGTTAAACCGAGATGGGCAGTTTAATGCTATGATTATTAACCACTATATCTTATCGGGAGCGATACGGAAACTAAACACAGAAGACAGTCTAGTAGATGGACAGATGCGAATTATTGAATTCTGGTGGGATGGAATAGGTGGATGGAAAGCGTGAGTGATTTAGTTTAATGATATTATTCAATTATAATATGATTAAACCTAGTTTTTTATAATCTAACAATGAGGTTAAGACATTTAAATTAAACCTGAAACCCAGACCAGCCGACCAGCAACCCCTAGCCAAAACTACTTAAAGAGAAAAAGCCTTATATATTAAGAGAAAAATGAGTAAGGGTAAAATGTCAGAGAATAATTTTATGGATGAGAATTGCGCTAGCTTACCTGAAGGCTTAGTTTCAATCATCACTACTTACATTAATGGTAGTGAAGGGTGGCGAAGACTGAAACAATGTGATGCTTTAAGAGAATTACAAAGGAAATGGAAACCGTCTATTTACACTGAACGAGTAGGAGAAAGTAGATATTATGTTGAGATTCGCAATAAATGCTTAAAAGGTGATAAAGCGCTTTCATATGCGTTGAAACCACCAAAAGAATTATTAAGAATGATGAAGTATGATGAAGAAATACAGGTTGGAATAGTAGTTAGTTCAAAAATTATGTATAATAATAATATTTGCAACAGTCGTTCTTATTCATCATCTAAACAGAATAAGATTTCAAGTAGAGCGTCATTACAATACCATATTGAACAAGCAGTTGAAGAAACCAAACAGACTATGAAACGACACGAAATCATTACTATCGAACATGTTGCAATTGAAATTTATAGAAAACAGAAACAATGATTTCATGGCTTAATCATAATATTTAATTATAATATGATTAAACAGTGTAAACTTTTATAACCTTTCATTATACTGTAATTTCAACCTATAAAACATAACTAGACAATCACATAAAAATCACATAAAAAGAAGTTGTTAAGATATATTAAGAAATGGTTGTGAAGCAAACTATAATGAATAATTATGGAATGACAGAAGAAAAAGCAACAGAAGACTATGGTGAATTCTTCAAATGCAACAGATGTCTTTATGATAAAACAATTGATGAATTTGGAAATGTAAAAAGTGGAAGAAGATATAAATATTGTCAAGAGTGTAGAACAAAAATAAATAATTGTAGAGATAAACGTCAAAGAAACAAACGACCCACCAACACCCCAGAACTTGATAACTACTAAAAGGGCTACCTCTTTCAAATGAAAAAAATGTTTGCCCCTAGCCCAACAATGAACAAGGCGACAATTTACCCAAATGATTACCTTAACGAAAACGATAAATAAGCTCCCTAAAAACCCTCTTTTCAAAACGAATAAGGGGGAACATAGATTTGAGATGAACATAAAAACCAGAACAGGCAACCATCAACAGACCACCCCCCAGGCCCCCTACTTTCTCCATTTTTTGGGGGGGGGTGGTGGTTCTAGCAAAGGAAGATGTGGTGGGGGGGGGGGGGGGTAGTGGTTCCAGTGAAGGAAAAGATGAGATGTGCAGGGGGGGGGGTGGTGGTGGTGGCGGCGAAGGGGTTGGGGTTAGACATTGAGGTGAGTCAAAAATAAGAGGGGGGGGGGGGGGGTGGTGGTGGTGACTGGAAGCAACGCAGCGAGAGGGGGGGGGGGGGTGGTGCTGACGCCTGACCTTCGTGGTGATCAGGCCTGAAAAACAGGAACTCTCGAATGATCTGACCCAAAACCCGTGGTGAAGAATTGAAAGGCCGGATATCCGAACCGTCAGGAGGATCCCCTTGTAGCTCAAATACTTGGCTCACTTCTCGAGCGGCTTGGAAGTGGTCTTGCCAGAAAGGCAAAAAAACGGACAGGAACACTCTGGCAGTCAGTAAGTCACAGTGAACAGGGCTCCCGATATTTCCCCCTTAAACGAAACTTACCTACAAATGGTCCAAAAGTGATGTGTACACCTGCTGAACAGGGACATTCGGTGAAGCCCTTTAACCAAAATGTGCAAATGAACCATACTCAACCACAAACCCGTGGTTCTACAAGGTACGCGGCAAGTAACGAGGGTTTCCTTGTTCCCTTACTTGCCACACTTGGGTCATGCTCACAACCCCTGACTCGCATCCCTTCCGGACTCGGATTCGCGACGCCGACTGCAGGCCTGTGAGAGCTCCCAAAAAAGTCCAGGAAACTCATCTGGGTTTGTCCCACTAACATCTATGGATGGACAAATTCCTGCACTTCGAACCCATTGTTTGCTGGCATTTTCCGGGGGAATCGTATTATTCCAGGGATTCATCGGTATCTCACCTCCCAGCCCCTCCGCTCCCCTCCTGCACGGAGAGCACCACGGAGGCATCCGCCAGCGCCGAACTCGACGCCGAAAGCTCCGGCAGCTGGACGTCCTGCAGCACCGCCTCGTCCCACTTGGCCATGACCTGGCGGTCGACTCACCCAGAAAAGAAAGTCAGTTGTACCCCCTACTCCAAAAACCCTCTTTTTTCAGGGTATCATGTCGACCCTCTACTGAAAAAGGAGGTGTTTTCCATGGAAACCCAGGTCTTCCCACAAATACCCTGGCAAAAGCGGGTATTTTGAGTAGGGGGTATGGCCATTTTGGTTGGTGAACTCACCACCCATTTTAGGCTTCCTATCTTAGTCGGGGGATTGAATCGGATGTTTGGGGATTTTCACCCATGGCCATGGGTCCAAAATGGGGTACCAATGGTTCACAGCCATGGTCATATGGCCATAGGTCAAAAGCCAAATCGTACCCCCAGTGAACATCCGATTCAATCCAAGCACTAAAATGGGTTCTAAAATGGGTGGTGAATTCACCTACCCCAAAATGGTACCATTGGTTTTGACCCAAGCCCATATAGTGGGTGCCGCACAGGTTGCCCTCAAAGGAGGCAAACAACAATGAGCTCTTGTCTCACACCTGGGAACAGAAGGTTCCGCAACCAGATGGTGAAACAAAGTGGTGAACGAAGATGCCTTCCAACAAAAAAAAAACAACCAAATGCCCAGCTGCCAAGTATGCCGCCGGGAGGGAGGCTTGGGGGAGGGAGGACGGAAGGAATGCCCCAACGGGGGCTTGGGGTGGGGAGACTACTCTAACAGTGCTGGATTTGGAGGTGCCCATTCTCAGCTGAGGAGCAGTGGTTAGCTGGTTATATAATATAGGGGGTGCTGCAAATGAGGTTGGCCTCAAACAGGAGGTAACCAAATATGAGCTTCTTTCCTCATGTTTTCCGGGGGACGAAAACACACACGGATGGTGTTGAAGCCGTTTTGTGTGGGGTTTGGAAGGGAAAGCAAAGGAAGAAGCGGCTGGATATGCTTGGGACAAGTCCTTTGGAACACGCCGGAAAACTTGTTGGTACCTGTTCCAGGGCTTCAAGAAAGCGAGCACATGCAAGAGAGACAGAGAGAGGAGTTTGGGCTGCTTTTGGATTGGAACCAATGCCTCTATGTCCAATGAAATCGATTCCCTTCCAAACCAGCGAAACATAACAACCCCAGCGCTTCCAGCCTATAGCAGGTAACCAGCTCAACCATCATGTAAAACCTTGCAAGAAACCCTTACCTTTTGTGGCCTGCCAGCAGGAACTAATAAGAATCTTCAGCACCCCCAAACCTCTGGAGCTACCTACTATACAGGTAAATGGATTTACTGGGTAGACCTGCAATGATAAACTTCATGTGCTGCCACAGCACCAAGATGTGTCACATCTCCTCCTCCTCCCCCCGGGCCCCGGACCGCGTCGAAGACCGGGGCAAAGGTCTCGTAGCAGGCCTCGTCCTTGGAGCTCGGGACTTACCCGATCCGACCCGAGCCCGGACGCCATATGGGCGACACGTCGCTTTAAGACTAAAAGAAAGCGCCCCCCTTTTCTTGGCCGACAAGTAGCTTTGAGTGAAAAAGCAAAAAACAGCCATGAGCGGAGCACAGCGCAGAAATCAGCATGACAGAGTCCGAAGGAAGACATGGGGGTTGAGCGATATTCCACTTAGGGCCCCAAAACGACCAGAAACAACTTGTCCCACGTGATGAAAGTCGTATGGCTTTTGGTGGCTTCCCTACTGCATGGGAGCATGACCCATCTGATAAAGTTCAACAAGTATGAATATCGCCCCACGTTCCAAGGCCTCAACCTGCTTTCTTCCTCTCCACCCCATAAAACACAGAGCTGAGGGTCCCCTTCGGGGATGGAAGTGACCCCCTTGTCATAACGTGGGATCTACATTCCTTGTGGCTCCGTCAGAACTCAGCAAAGATCAGCTCCGAAGTGGTGTGAGCCCAAAACCCCCGCCACTCAAAAGACCTCCACAGGAGCCAGAGTTGCTCGGCACTGGAAATTCGAGCCACCTTCCCAGCAACTCGGGATGCCGCAAAAGGCATTCTTCGGGGCAGGAGAGCCACCCAGGCGGAAACATGAGACTCCCCGAAACTGGAGGGTCCAGCTATTTTCCATCCTCAACCCAGAGGTCTGTGCCTCCATCCTCACAAGCGCCCCTGGACGCGAGTCCAAGCCATGAAACAAGAGAACAGGTTGGACTGTGAAAGTTGGTGGTCCTTCCAACCGAAAAAGGAGCACCCTCAAAAACACACCCGTATCCTGAAGCAGGTTGATACTGCAAGTCTTTATAAAGTGTCCCCCTCTTGCATGACCAGCCCACATCGCTCAACATCGCTCACAAAGCTCAAAAGCACCCATTCCACGGACTTCCAGCAGGGTAGAATCTCACTGAGAGTGGTCATCCAAATTGAACCCCCGCCCCCTTCCCCAAACTCCATCCCCCGCCCCCCTTCTTGAACTCCCAAAACAAAAGACATCCCTCCTCCCACCATATCTGGAAACCACCCCACCTTTAACCCCAGCAGCCAAGGCCATACCCCAACTGCAGGTTACGAAATCAATCGACACCAATGATATCCATTATCCCCACCCCCTTCACCTTCTTGTGCCATGAATACTTGCTAAATTTTGCAGCCAACCAACAAGTCAATACCCCAACCGCAGGTGTCAAAATTAATCGACCCCAATGGTATCCATCATACCCCCGCCCGCCAACACACACACACACACACAACTATATATATATATATATATATATATATGTGTATATATATATATGCCCCCTCCAACCAAACCCCCCTCCCCCCCTCCCTTTAAACTAAAAAAAAGACACATTCAACAAAAAAAAGAAAGAGCCACCCACTCCGCCGAAGCCCAAGCCGAAGCCCGAAGCCCCCACACCCGAAGCCGAAGCATTTCGAGCCGAAAAGGCAAGGGGCGGCCGCTACCAGGCCCAGCGTGCGCACGATCTTGTGGCCCCGGTGGTCCACCCCCGGCTTGACGCACCGCGCCAGCGAGGCGCCCGAAGGCGTGCGCACGTCCTGAGCGCGAGCGCCCTAGTAAATTTTCACCCATGGACTCAAACCTGCGGCCCATATCCTGGTTTACTTTTGACCCATACTGTGCGTTGGGGATTCGGGGGCCTCGGATTTCTTGGGGATACGACGGGGCCCGCCTTCAGCTGCTCGTAGAGCTCAGGCTGCGCCAGCAGCACGGCCGCCAGCACGTTGTGGTGCCGCGACCTCGAGCCATCGAGGAGTTGGGTCAGGCAGGATGGTTCCCCCAAACAACCCGCAAGGGGAAAACGGGGAAAACTCCCGCGAAGTGGCCATGTGACGGTTTCTCGAAATGGGGACCCGTTTTTGGACGGTTTTCAGGGGATCCCCAAAATTGAGAAACGCCCATATTGCGGTTTATCCATTCAACCCTTTGGGGTGGTCTGGGGGTCCAAACCATCTCAGAGTCAGCAACCGTCGGCTACCGTGGATGGACGAAATCCTGCCACCCAAGAAACCCTAAAATCATGGTCCCCCCCCCTCACATAAATACCAACAAACGTTATGGTTTCAACCAGCGATTCTCAGCTGGTGCGAGAAGCGGAATTCGATTTCAACCATCAACAGTCTTTGCTCACCTCGTGGGCTCAAGGCCCGTCCAGGTTCTCAAGAAAACCACAGGGGCGCGCCCACCAGCCATTGAGGATGCTTCCTGCCTTTCCTTTGACTTGACAGCTGTCTGAGTCCATTTATACTCAACATTCACAAACACTATTCCATGCATCAAAAATTCACCAAAAAATGTATTTGTTTTAAAACATGCCAAACCTATCTTTCATTGCATTTTATTCAATCTCTCCCTCTCTCTGTCTGTGGTCCCGGGCAGGTCTGGCAGAGGCTGCGCTCCGTCCGAAGCGAAGCCCGGGTACTGCGGTCCAATGGGATTGGATGTCCCGGGTGAACTCTAAGTGATTCCCATCCAGATGAATGAACCATTCCGCCAGGTCTGGTCAGTTCATATGGAGAGGGAGGATAAGCCTTAACCTTGATGGATGAAACCCGAAATACTGGGATAAAACCGGGTTTTCTTCATCCACAGTATCAAACGTAATTAACCAACGGGGGTGGCCCAACCCTGGTCCAAACAAACTTATTGCCAGGGAAGTGCCCCAAGTGAGACTTTCCCTACAACAATCCAATTTCGGGGACTCGTTTCTTGGAGATATGATCACTACGTGGGATGGTCGTCCATGGCTTGCCAACATGTGTTCCTTTGATTTCCCTAGCCAAGGCGACAAGGGCACCCTGACAAGCCATGGCACCGAAAAGGAACCGCTCAAGCGAGAAAAAAAAAAAAAAACGCTTCTTCGGCGTCAGACATGTGAGTCGAGTAATGGCTGACCCTACTGTGGTAGTGCGGCTTTTGCTGACATACCTCCTACTCCAACACCTGCTTCTCCAGTTGGCGTATTTTGACATACCAGATGTACCACTTCCTGTTCTAGTCGAGAGTCACGTCATACCTGACAGAATTTGGTATTTGGAGAAATTAGGATTCTCAGAGCCCAAGGGAAGGGGGGGGGGGAGAATCACCTTGTTGTCTGCAAGGGGGGGTTAGGGGTCCCGTGGTCGATTTCCCGTGCACGTTTCACCAACTGAAACAAAGGGGTCCATATTCTTTCGAGCAACTTGGCCCCCAATCGGCTGCAATAGCCTTGTGAGGCCTCTGATTGCGCTGCAAAGTTGTGGTGCCTCCGGGATGGCAGGGTAGCACTCTGAAGACACCCACGGTGCTCAATGCAGGTTTGTCCCAAAGAGGACCCCTTGCAGAATGGCGCCACATGTTTTTTGCCTTGTCATTTCCCCTTAAAACCAACCCCACAAAAGGGGGGGAGTCTCCAAACGGGACGACGAGCCACATGGATATCTTTCCCGGCGAACCAACTTCCGCTCCTCGGCGTCGCCGCGGCCGGGCATGGCGGACCAGTCCGGCAAGTCCTGTCGAGTCCAAAAGTGACACAGGCCACACAGGTTTTGTCGCCGGTTCGGCGAAGAACTGAAACCGTGGCGTTCGTTGTTTGGCTGGTTATACATGGAGAAAATGTGGAAAACATGTCACTGGTTTGTCGCTGGTTTCTTGGGAAAAATGGAAAACGGGACACTTTTGGGCTGGTTAAAGGGCAGAGGAGACCCAAAAGCCAAAAGCGCTGTGGTCATAGCTACATGGCCACTCAGAAATGGCGCCCGGAACCAACCCCCGCCCCCCCCGTACATTGCAGACCCATGGGAGAATCAAATCCCGAAGCTTCTAGGTGTCAAGGCCAAACGAAACCGCGCAGCTTCCATACTTCATGCGAGGTGCAAAGACAATGCTTGCAAAAACGCCGCATGGCGTCTTTCGCATGAAGCCCGACTCTGCGACCCTTGTAGGCTTGGGAGCCCGGTGCTTTGGCCCGGAAAACCGGTTTGTTCTTAGGCCTCACTTCCGATTGGCAAAACGAAACAACACCTTGCTTGCCTCTCAGCACGGTCTGTCTCAAAGAAAACAACCAACCCGACCCGAAAAAGCCACCCCCCTCCACGCCTCCAGCTCAGGCTCCTCCTCCTGATCCCGGTCTCAAGCCCAGTGATTCCATTCCGGGTGGAGGCCCCAGCCCTATGCCAAGTAAAGCAACCATGCTCAACCACAAAACCATCGAAGTATTTCATACTTTGGCCGGTGCCCCTCCCTTTCCTTACGGCTGACATTCCTTTGGTTGGTGATTCGGCTTGGTGGTTTGGATTGGTGGTTCGGTGGTTCGGTGGTTTGGTGGTTTGATACAACCCGGAACAAATGCATTTCTTCAACATGGCTCAAAAATCACAGAATTTTACTTACATTTAGCCGGAATAGGCCTGAAGTGACGATTATATTAAGCCCGGGGAACCCTCTACAAGAACTAGAGCTTCAACTCCCTCAACCCGGGCGTGAAGCGAGCCACGCGGCCGACTTTCGAGCCGAAATCCGAGAACTCGACCAAAACAAAGAGCTTCACCTCTCTTTTTGACACGCAAGCCATGGCATGGGCTCCCTACAGCCTCTTTTGCTCCGAGACAACCCTGCCAGTGGCGAAAGCTTCACCCGACACCCGGGCGCAACACCCCGCCTGGGGCGGCTCCGACTCCGGGGCGCGCTTCGGAGAGCTGGCCTGGCGGGGGAAAAATTCAAAAAAAAAAGCCCCCCCCCCCAAAAAAAAAGAAAAAAGGATTCCGCAAAGTGGAATTTAAAAAAAAAGAGGCCCCTCCAAAAGTGGGATTCCATCGGTTGGAGGAAAGCCACCGGCAAAAATGGATCAACTTTTGATTGGAAGTCTAACCCCTGTGTCACTGAGACAAGCTTCCATTTGAGTCTAAGGCTCCTGGGAAAAAATGAAGAAAAACAACATACATGTCCAATAGAGATTGATTCCCTTCAAAACCAACAGGGAAAATAACACATATGCTTAAGCACATGGAAGTACCTTCTTAGCGGTTCTGCGGGTATGGGTCAAGCATTCGCAGGGAAACGAGGGGATTCCGACTGGTCCAATTTTCAAACAGGTTCTCTCCGAGATTCTAAAAAATGAACCCCGATAAACTAATACAACCCCTCCTTTTCAGCCTTTGGAGAACCGGATTTTGCACTTTGACCGAAATGACCATTTGAACTCTTTGAAAAGGACCCTTCTTTTTCAACCTGGAAAGTCGTCGCTATGGTGAAAGGGAAGCAAAATGCGAGTCTTCAGAGTCGGAACTAAAGACTGGTACTGAAGGGGCCCAAGATTTCCATGGTAAACCAATAGAGCAGGTTTATCAAGGGAAGCTGTAAACCAGCCCAACCCCCCACCCCCACGAGGCCTTTCAAGACATGCGCGCCCCCCCCCCAACCCCCCTTTATGCCTTTCCAGAAAGGCGCGGCTGGGACCCCGTCGCATCGAAAAAATCCCATCGCTGGAAATTCTTCGCCTGGATGTAGCCCATCATGAAGGAGTAGGGGTCCGCCGGCTTGGTGGTCAGCAGCTCATGGACCATGCCCTGCCTCGGAATTCAGATGGGTGTGGGTCAAAATCCCGTACCCCCGGTGGTGAATTCAGCTACCGACCAAAATGGGATCCCATTGGTTTTGACAACCACAGCCATATGGGTATGGGTCAAACTTCAACCACCAGGGGACCACAGGTTTTGGGGTCTTGGTGCCATTTACCAGCGTTCCATTTTGGGTACCCATTTTTGACACCCTACGCCAAGAGACCCCTACATCCAGATACATGTTTTTCATGTCCGCCCTGGTTGAGAGCGGCCAAGTTGTTTAAGTTTCTGAAGAGGACATCCACCTAGATCGCCAAGTTGCGATCGCTTTTTTCGGAAGTCACTGCTGCGATCGGTGTTTGGGGTACCGTTCATGGAAAAAGCAGCAACTGGCGATCCAGGCAGATACATTCCTTTAAATCCGCACTGTTTGAGAGCGGCCCAAGTTGCTTGTTTCTCAAGAGGACTCGGGTTTTGTTCCATTGCCCCAAGTAGAAGTGAAGCTGTTCCCTTGGGAAATCAACCACCCCGTGCACGTCCAAGAAAAAAACTGGCCTCCTTATTTTACCCTGATCAGAGTGACCCCGGTTCAGTGGTGGGTTAAAGGGCAACAACCGATTCCATCTTCTGACTTTGATCACCCCCAGAAACCGAACCAACAAATAATGACCCCAGAAAAAAAAAGAAGAAAAAAAACAAGGGGAAAAAACAAAAGGGCTTCAAGTCCACCGGGGCGGATCGATCCAACGGACCGCCCTGGCGAGCCGCCAGCTGCTTCCCGTCTCACTGGGGCATGGGCAGTACGCGCTGCACTGAGTGGGCCTGGCATCTGGAAGGCTTCCAGCTCTTAGACCTTGGTTTGATTGCACAAGCCCAATAAAGCCAAACGAAATTATGAAGAACTCGGATGCCCAGTGGATTTCCATGGACAAAAGAATCGGCATCCTTTCTTGCTTGGTTGACTTCAAAGGAATCGGAACCCTTCCCAAAAGCAAGTGTAAAAAAAGGGTACCACTGAGCTACTGGGAAACTAAATGAACAAATAGAAGAAGTGGATCCCAGACCAGATTGGGCAAAGATCGCTTTCCCGAATGTGTAACAAACAATGGTACCCAGTCCTTGGATTGTCCCCTTCCTCCTCCCAGTCTCAGGTTCCAAGCAAGGCGAATGAACCTACGGACCCTCTAACCTCTCCCGCATTTCCGATGAACCCCCTTCCGGAATGGGAACGCACCCAAACCAACGGGCTCGTTTTACCACCAAGAGTGTCCACCGGACAACGCTCAGAAATCAATGGAACAATTTGGGCCACCTTTTGCAGGCGGCATGTCTTGAGGTTTGGCCATCTGTCTCGGATTCCAATTAAGTCCTTGGGGAAACAAGGGACATGGCGGTCCCTGGTTTCAGTGATCTTCCCAATCGCCAACCTTCCGTCCAGAGCGAACCCCACTCCGGCCTCCAAGTATGACTGCGCTTCAAGCGCGGCCTGACACAGGGGAGAGGGAATAAGACAACCACACAGCTCCCGATGGAACGAACACGTGTCGAAAGGGAAACCCAAAGGAAACTCAAAAGGACCACATGCTTGCAAACAGCTCTTACTTTTACCCTGTGACCCCAAGTTGAATACCTCTCTAACCCACCCACCCCCCTTTTTGCTATAAACATGAAATGGCCGGCTGAAAGAAGCCGTCGGACCACCCAATCATTTCCAGCCCTGTCAAGAGGTACCCCCACCCGTCCTCCCTTTGCAGCGTCCCCTTAGGCTTGCGGGGCCCCGGCTCTTGTTGATATATATTTTTCCGGAAAGTTCTCTGGCGGAGTCAGTGGCAACTCCGCAGAATCCTGAGTCCCATTGATCATTGTGGACGGCGGCTTCATCAAAATCAACCGTCCTTGAGAGGGTGTCCATGGTTCCAATGCTAAACGCGGGGCAGGAGTCATAGGATTGATCAACTCCAAGTACCCCGAGTACCCCGAGTTCCCCGTTCGCCTTGAGTTGTGCCTCGTTGCCTGACCACAGTTTGCGAGGATTCAAACCCGGCCAAAGCAAGCTGGCAGCCGAGTTGCTTTCTTGAGACCTTTTTGGCTCGCTTTTGGATCCGTAGCAATGTGGGGAGGATAATGTCAAGCCAGATTGTTTCGCTGTTTTCGTCGTTCACGATGTCTCCCTCGAAAGCCAGCTGAAACAAATGTACTTGGACCCTTTGGGTTTTTCGGTCCTAGCGCTCATCGACTTGGACATGGGCCATTTGCACTCTCGAACGCGAAACCAGAGTTTGGACCATTTTCCACCAGTACGGTTCGTGGGAGGGTACTCCCCGCGCCTGGTGCCGGGACACCCGGGGCTTCTTCGTCTCAGACCGCACCTGCCGAGCGAACTTCTCTACAACTTCCAGCTCCTGTTACTTGTTGCTTTTTTGTGCGGGGGGGGCGGGGGGTTCTCAGGGGGAACCCCTGTCTTTGTGTGTTCTAAAAGGAAGCCAAAAAGAACACCACCTGGGTTCGGAATCCGAAGGTTGGCACAGGCGATAAAGCTTCCACCTCCAGTTCTGTGATTCTATTGAACAGGTTCACCTGGTCGCATCTGGCCGCCGCCTTGCACGAGTTGCGCTTTTGTTTTACGCTGAAAGTCCAGAGCTCGCCACAGGTTTGAGCGAGGGCTTGACTTCCGCTACAAGTCGGGTGTAGCGGGCCTGTGAAATGTGAAACGCCCCAACCCAGACCAATGACCATAGAATCAATGAACCGCTTGGTGAAAAGGGGATTGTGCCATGTAAGGAGGGGCCGGCGGAACAAATCCCGACCAATCTGCCTAGTTGTTTGATGGGTCAAAGTTGCCAGCCATCCCTTGCGAGTGTCGCCACTCGCCATGGCGCTGCTTCTACTCGGTCACTGCCATTCGGGGACGAATCTTGATTGACCACGTGGGACGGATTTAAGCACTCACCATTCTTGAGGGGGTGTCAAAGCATTCGAGTTTCCTTTCCACTAAAGCGGGTTGCGCATTGACCCCCGATGCACAAACCCAACCTGGTGGATTGAGCCCTCGATGCTCAAGCCGCTCTTGTGGACTCGGCACGGCACTTCAGGCCTCTACGTGGAGGACTTCGGGTCCGGAGGCATAAAGTGAGGCACTGCAGTCACTGGATTTCCATGTCAAGAGTTGATCAATTGTGTGGTGTCCGTTGAATTTGCTGCCTGTGGAGGTTCCAAAAAGAAAAATGGAGGAAACCCGGTACTATTAGACAATGTGAAGTCATGATCATACAATGTGTGTAATCATTTAGCCCATGTTAACGCACCTGCACCATGGTTGAGAATGATTCCTTTTTGCTTAGGTTGCTATGCAATGGTCATGGACCCCTTTATATGGAACCTTGGACAACTAGTGCAAGGATTCCTGTGTACATACAGATGGATAGAGAGAGCCATGACCATGGCCATAAGGTTTGACCATGGCTCACAGGCTTAAGGGGCGCCCCAAGAGGTCTGAACCTTCATGTGGGTATGGATCAAAATTCAACCACCAAGGGACCGCAGGTTTTAGTCTATGTTTCCACTTACCAGGGCAACCATTTTGGGGTGACCCTATTTTTGACCACCACAGCCATGTGTCGCTCGGTTGGGGCAAGCCCTACCTCTGGCTCCCCTCGGTATCAAGCTGCCTTGGCCTGCATGTCCAGGACAATGCTGCCATCCCTGACCGTTGCTCAAATGATGGGTCAAAGTTAATCCACCAGGGAGCAGGTGTCAGTCCTTGTTTCCATTTACCAGGGTGTTTCCATTTACCAGGGCAAGCGATTTGGGGCACACATTTTAACCACTAGACCGCAGGATGAGTCAAAATTATGTTTGTTTACCAGGGCATTTGGGGCGCACATGTTTGACCTGCCAGATTGGCGAAAACGATGTGGTCAAAGAGTGCACGGGAGGGCAACACGAAGACCTGGAAAGAGTGATGTCCACTAGTAACTGACCAAAGAGCGACCAAAAAGCACCCAAGAAAACCTCCCCCCCTTGACGTTCGAAAGGAAAGAGAGAGACGTGCAACGACGTGACTGGCCTGCCCCAATGGAAGACACCCCTCCTTTTTGACGCCAAGAGTCGCTCCCCATGGGCCGGGGCCTCAAAACAAAGGGGAGGACCACCGATTGCCTCTAGGCTTGATTCCCCTTCTCTCACCCATCCTTCAGCTTTCAGCTCAATCGCAAAATTCCAGTAAGAGCGTTGGGCACTTTTGAAGAGACTGGCTGATTCCCGCGAAGAATGGGTCACGGCAAGAAGACTTTCCTGCAACCGATCAACTCAACACAAACGTGTGCCGCTGTCTTGCCGATTGGGAGGCTGCCAGTGAAAGAAAGCACCAAGAACTCGTGATGTCATCCTACGTTCCTCCGCAAACTCACATGGTGTTTTTCCTCCCCCATGAAACATCGCCCAGAACTCTCCAAAACGGGCCGGGGAAAAAGATGATATGGAAAACCACCTGAAAAGGTGCAAAGGAGCCACTGTGAAAAAATGCGGTTCTCACAACAGACATTCAGCAAGTCCCTATGCATCTAGCCAACTCATATATGCGCCCTGTGCAGAATGACTTACTTCTCCGCGAGGCATGGGCAATTTGGGTCACCAAACAAGAACGTTGGTGGCTTCATGCGTGCATGGTCATAACTGGTCATGGACATGATGGACATGGTCCATGGTGAGAAGGACTGCTGGTCAAAGCCAACCGAAGCAAACTGGGCCTTCATGCATGACTGTTGCATGCATGGCCCGGCCATGTCCATCTAAGAACTCTTACACTTTCCTGTGAAACCCCCCATCCCTAGGAGAGGAACCGTGCGGTAGGCCACGGCACGAACAAATTCGGCCCGCGGCAAATGACAGGGACCGACCGCGGAAACCCCTTCACATCTTGCAGATTACTGGTGAGTTCAAACCAAATTCCGATTCTTCGGTGCTTTCAAGCAAATATCACCCATATGTTCGATGTGGGGAACAAAACACGTGCCCCTGTTTTGGAGGTGGGGGAAAGAAATTCTTCGGGACCCCCCGAAAAAACAACAGAACACAACCCAGAGGCTCCTGTTTGGGGTTCTCAAAACCTGGCTGAGATGAGGGCCCAAGAAACGTCGAATTGGAGCCTCTGGGAAACCAAAAACATCTGCGGCCCTTTGCCTCCCCTGCAGCTGGATCTGGTTGCCATCGCTGCAGCTCGAGAGGTCCGACAAGCTCACCTTCGAAGGCAGGAACGCAGGGGGGACCCACTGGCCCACTCGGGTGAAACTGCGCAAGTGCCACGCTCAAAAAAACTGTGTCTTTTTCTTGTTTTTATTGTTTGTGGTTTTGTTCTTTTTACCTGGGGGTGGTACGGCTGGTATGACCATGGCCCTAATGGGAGTGTGGTCAAAACACGGCAAACTGTTTGCTTGGGGGTGGTACGTGCGACCAGGGAGCATCACCTGGCAGGAACAAAGAGCCCATGAAGAGTCCCGAAACCTGGGTGATGGAACTGGTGCTTCTCGCACCACTAGCATGAAACCGTGGTTGAATCCATAACGTTGGTTGGTATTTACGTTGGGGAATCGCCATCATTCCGGGGTTTCTGAACGGTGGTGCGAAATGGATTTCGCAACCATCCGCAATAGAACCTGACTGAGGAATACTTTTTCTCCTTAAGGGACCCCTCTGGTTCCCATTTCTCATTTTTTGGTCAACCTTCAAATGTTCTTTTCGGGTTTAGATTATGGTCACAAAAACTTATGGGCACGAAAGCTGGAAGTCCAACGGGGGGTTGCACATGGGCCCTTCTTTGGGTTTTCAAAGGGATTCCAAAAGGAAACCAATCCGTCGGTTGCAATAGAAACACCCAAATTTGTTCACTTGCCGTCCTTGGAAAATGGTCCGGGGCCGCTTCCTTTCTGTGATCACTGTGCGGTTGAATCCAATTGAACAGAGGACGCAAGTGCTTGGTCAACAATCGTATCAAATCTCATAGCCAATAACGTTGACCCCCAATTGTCTCCCGATTCATGGGATGCTTGCAGAAAGCCACCCAAAAAATGGCACATCCACTATTCGACAACCGGGGGCGTGTTCCTGGCATATGAGGCACAGTCAGTATTCACTGCGTTCTCAGTGATCTCAGCTGACATAGGATTTGGTGAGTAAATCCATTTCCTAATGGTATTTTGGAGAGTGTGCCAAATGGTTTTATCTCTTTTACTGTGGGTCTTCTAACCATGGAACATAATATGAGCCCAAAGAAAAAGAAAAATAACTTGTTGCCTAGGTCTCACCCCGGAGTTCGTTTTCAAAGCTTGGGGAACCATGAAACCTTTTTGGCATCGGGTTGTGGTGGACCCAAAAAGCTTTCTGGAAAGTCAATGGCTAGGTGCTCCAGATTTGAGAGGCTGGAATACGGGAACCCGATTCCTTTTTTCAACATCGTCTATTTTAGTCCCTCCCAACCAAAAACGTTGGTAAAAGGGAACTACTGGGGCACCTAAATGAGAAGCCAGACAGGACACCGTGGCCATCCTGGATTTTCGGTACCGCCCCTCCCCCTCGGCCTGCGCCGAGCCAACCTTCTCGAAGATATCCACCACCTCAAAAATTTGGGTGCGAAGCACCGGTCGGGATGTATGGATGTCATGATGTCAGCCCCTAACCTTGGAGCCAAGGGTTCAGGTTCGGGTCCCTAGGTTCCAAGTGGCAAAGCCTCCCATCGCCCATTCTTCAATTGGGAATAGCATCACCTGAGGCCAAAGAGTTGCAAAGCTACCTTGTATAATTCTCCTGTCATTCCCTGTAAGTTCCTGATTGGTACCATTTTCTTCTGTTGCGGAAAATCATACCTGGTTCCGCTTGATAGTTTGCCTAGCGGCCTACCCTATAAGACTTGCTGGCCCAGCAGGGCATGACCTCCCGGGTGTTGGGGAACGAACCCAATAAAAATCCCCCAAGGACACCACCGGTGGGATGGGTTTTTCTCGGGGGCTCGTTCCAATTCTCCTTCCCTGCTGAGATATTTTTTGGCTCCATTTTGGCTATTCCTTTCTAAAGTGGTACCCTCAAGAAAACACCCCACCCACTTCCTGTGAGCCTCGGGCATTTTCTTCAGCAGTGGAGCTGCTTGCTTGCACAACACATGTTTTTGTTGGAGGCGTCCTAGGCCGCGATCTCCTAGGCTGCCGCGCCAGGTGCCGCGGCACTTGCTTCCCATCAAAGGAGAAGCATTCACCTGGCGGGACTCCGACTCCCGCGTCTCCAGGTCCGTGGCTCGTCGATGCCCCCCTCCAAATACCCCGGCGCTCGGGTTTTTTGACCGGCGTGTCCGGGCTTTTTTTGTGGACAAGGCCGGCGTTGCGTGGCAAGTTGCCCCTTTTGTGCTTTTGGTGAGCGGGTACCACGAATCATGCCCCAAAGTTGTCGTCTCGATTGTGGTCTTTGGGAAGAGAAAAGCGGGAAGCCAAAGGAAACCAAACCACGGTTCCTCACACGTGGTGGGGTCTATCTTTTAAAGGGCTCGCAGTCGAAAAGAACCCATCTCAATTTTTCACTTGTCCGGGTTTCTACCAGTTCGAGGGGGCGGTTTAAGCCACTAACCGTGTCTACCCTGGTAGGTAGGGTTTCTAGCATTGGTTTCGGACCATGCGTTCAGCCGCCCAAAATGGCAACACTGGATCATACAATCAGCCTGTCTCGAGAGGTGGAGCAACATAAGCGGCCCTGTCTGAATTTCTAGCCATAAGGGACCAAGGTCTATTGGCTTGCCATTCCCAACCCCATGTAAAGGGGCCGTTTACGTGTGCACGCATGGGCAAGCGTCAAATATGGGGATGCCAGGATCCCCCCCCAAAAGATTCCTTGTGGCGTCCTTTTGCCTTCAAGGAAACAGAACCCAAAATAGCTTCCCTCTTGGTGATCTCCGATGTGCCACCCTCTTTAACAATCAGCGGCTCAAATCCCAATCCAAACCACAGGGTGACCCTCCAGGAAACCTACCGGGGCCCCACTGGATCGATAGCCCACCTGGCTTGTACTGAATCTGCTTCCGCCTCGGCAGGCGGTTGCGTGCAACCCCGGGGCCAAAGGTTCGGGAAGTCTAGAAATGGTTGGGTGTTTATTCTCTAGTTTTATATGGAACCTAAAAACCGGTGGATGGTTTGGAGAAATGCGCTTTTGGGAGGACCCTGTTTTTGGGCTACAAGTTAATGTGCATAGGGAAGTGGTTGGTTGATCTTTTTCAGGAAACCGCAAAACATGGCAACAATGTGTAAGGGCACCACTACCACGAGACCCCCTTAGCTTGAACCCCGCCCAATGTGGTGTGACCTCTTAATGGGAGATGGATGCAATCGCTACGGCTCCTCCGAGGTCCGTTGAGACAAACGGCCATGGGTCAAAAGCCAAATCGTCCACTAAAATTGGTTCTAAAATGGGTGGTGCACCTGCCCCAAAATGGGATCCCATTAATTTTGACCCACAGCCAAATAACACGGGGAACGTCTGACAAGAGGCATTTTGCCTAAAACGTATATCGCCACTTAACAAGCTACATGGGCAACCATGTGCCGAATTTTAAGCGTGGTGACCATAAGCAATGCAACACGGGAAAAGTTGGGCTACGATTCGTCGACCAAAACGCAGCTCCCAACATTCCGCACCGAGCCGCACTTCGCCGGCGCGGAGGCTCAGGTAGGCCTTCTCCGGCAGGCCCTCGGAAGCTGTTCCGGATCCACCCCATGTGGGTCTTTAGGCTGGTTTCCCCAAACCGTTTTGGGATCCCATTTTGGTTGGTACGTGAATTCACAACCCATTTTAGAACCTATTTTGTTCACTGGGGGTACGATTGGCTGTTGACCCATGGCCATGTACTCTCTACAAGAACCAGAGGTTCTATTCCCCGAACCACCAATCTAAACCACCAATTGAGGCTGACCTGATGGGTGGGTCCTTTTTTGAGAATACCTGTTTTGGTGGGGTGTAGAGGGAGACCAAAAGGAAAACACCCATTCGTTCCTTGTTGTTGGTGCTTCTTTCATTTTATTTTTTTGTTGGGGGGAAGTTCCCCTACAAAGAAGACACATCTATGAGTCAAAGGAGGAACGAAAAGTTGAGTTTCGGTGCAACCCTTTGTGCTAAAGGTGGAAAGTGAGAAACACATACACGTCTGTGGAGCATCATACGAATTTGCCATGTGGACGAATCCATTTCGCACCAGGTTAAATTGGTGGCCTGTCCCGATAGGGGGCATCCATAAGTTCAAGACGTTGTCCATCCACAGAATCAAGTTTCCTGATGCATCACTTCCATTTGGTTAAGACCCCTGGAAAAATAAGCATATGTCCAGTAGTGCTAGATTCCCTTTAAAACCAACAGGGGGAAAAAATTGAAAAATCTTCATTTCAGCCAATGGAAGAAGTCATAGGCCATCCACAGAATCGGGAACGGACTATTGCAGCCGTCGACTCTTGGACCATTGGCCACCTCTGAATCAACCCGACGGATGGCTCAAGAAGCCGAGCGTGGGGTGTGCCAACCTCTGTGATCTTAGCATCCGAACCAACCTCTATCTACCTAAGCACTGTGTTGACAGTGGAGGGTTCTCACAATTACGCTTCAGAATGGACACTTGCATGCAGAGGGTCCTGTCCACTTTACGTATAGGGACAACTCTTTCAGCTGGTTTCAAGACAACTCAATCAACGGCCAGTTGTCCATGGTCATGGCTCCCTTGGGTGGCTTTATGGTCTAGAAACCCTACTCGAGGGATTACGACCATCCAAGCCCGAGCAAGCGAAGACGAAGGAACACGTGGGAATTATTCAACTGGCCCTTTGAGTGGGTTGAAACAACTGGGTTCTGCAAATGATTGTCCATTGGCGCAAGCCATCGGAACCCGTTTGTTCGAACCTGTCTATCTGCAAAGAACCGGGTTCAACATCCAAAAGGAAACTTGAAGCGTCGCAAGATCTCACCTGCCGACGGGAAGGTCGGTTCGCAAAAGGCTGAAACCACCTAAAGGGGGATCTACCCTTGTTCCCATCGACTGGGGCCAGTTTTTTAAGGGAAGCACAGATTCAGCCCAAAATTATTAATGAACTGGATCATGACTTTGATGGATTGATGAAATTGATGTACTGTAATGTATGAAAGTGTTGAAGAATCTGTGAACACAGCGAATCACTTTGGAGTCATGGGAGTCCCACGACACATGGAACCTGCATCCAACTGGCACGCTGAAACCCGACACGGGGAACCCGTTTCGCGGCCTTCGCGCTGGCCACGGTCACATCCATGGCCTATCCAGGAGTCTCAACCGGGCCGACCCAAATAATGCGGATTTATTTTGGGATTATGTTTCGTTGTTTTTCTTGTCCCCCCTCCAAAAACAAATGCGGCGGGTGCTTTTTCTTCTTCTTCTTTTTGTCGAAGACTTTCAAGGTAGCACAGGGGTAGCATCAAGGAGGTGGCGCCCCTTTTTTTTTGGGGGGGGGGTCAAACTGAAACTAGGGTAATCCATTCCCAATGAACCCAACAGGACTTGGCTCCTCTCCTCATCCTCAAGGTGAGAGGTTCACTAAACACTAACGCCCAGTCTGGAAAGAAAGCCACACATCAGAACAAATCCCCGCGACCCGAGCGAAAACCTGCATGAGCCATTGGTCAAAGCTCCACTGATTGTGGTGGTTGTCAATAATGTCCTGGGGTGAATGACCCTCCCCAATGTAACAGGCTGAATAATTACCCACGCTCTTATCATGACCTAATTTGGCCGTATAGCACCCCATGAAAAGCTTCTATTCTTGGCCTCTTCTAGTGCCACCCCGCACAAAGGAGCAACCAGGAAGCCATGCTCCTTGCGAGCGAGGCATCTGATTCCGCCGCTTCAGTTTTCCGCAACTCCGTTACATCCTGTAAACCCAATGTTGGGCCAGCTTCAGATGATTTGCCACGGCTTCTGCGTGCCATTAAAAACATGCATGCCGATCTGACAGCAGACTGACGTCCTTGTTGGGGGGATTTTGGCAGGTTGGCTAAAAGGGGGTACCTAAAGGAAGCCAGCGCAGCTTGAGATAAACTGACGAAGCCAATAATCTGCAACTCCGAGCTGACAGACTGCCATGGTAGCAATCAAGAGTTGCAGAATTCGCCTGTCGACTTGCGCAAGTTGCTGCATCTTCCAGCGCAAGCGCCAAGCTCAGAGTCATGCAAAGAAATTCCTGCACATCGTGTGATCCTCCAACGGCGTTGCCTTCAAGACAGTTGAAGCCACTTACTCATCCGAACGGCGTTGCAAAACATATTGACGTGTGTGCTTTGAAGATACCCTTTTCACCTGAAGCCAAACGGAAATGCACCTTTTTGGGGGTGCTTTTGACACATACATATGTGGCTTCAAAGGCAGCCAAGGAAGGAGAGAAAAACAACTTTTGGAGCATGGACACAAAGTCCAGCACTTCCGGCCAAAGCAGCTGCCTCAGGACTGCACAACATGGGCGGCAGCCAAAATGACGCGGGCCGGTGATGCTTGTGCAGTAGGGTTGGACGTCGCAACAAGGACTCGTCGCAGTAGACTTCCGTGAATGACCTGTCCATGCACCATTTCGGATGCTGGTCCACATTATAAGGCTTGAACCGAAACAGCCAGACTCTCCAAATGTCGAAGTTGTCGGTTCCGAACCTACCCTCGCCAAGATTGCGAGCATCATCCACATCCGTCACAAAGTACACGGCATTCACACCATGTCGGCCCAGGTGGTTCTTCAGCCCGGCCCTATTGATAGAAGCGCGATTCGTCTTTGGACTGACATGATACAGCCACATGGCGAGCTATATGCCAAGCGAGCCTAAGCTTGAACCGAAACGAGTCTCGGCCAAAGAGAGCCTAGCCTGCGAACGAGAACAGGGTATTACTCGGGGCATTGTTTTTGCGACTGGAACACCTCAAATAAGAAGCCTCCATGTAGGCAGCTAAAAATTCAGCTGGTCAAGGGAACATACCCAGAAGCAGGCAAGAAATCACGTGGACCAAACTCTCGCCCGGCCAAGTCACTGTTGCCACTGTCGCGATAGCAGTGCCTTGCATAGCCCGGAAGATCGTAACACGTGCTGGACGCATTTCCTTTGACCAAATCCACGTCAGCACATATACACATATATGTATATATATATATACACATACATATTGCGAATATCATTCAGAGTGACTCCCCCAAATTTCCACTTGCCCACAAATTAAGCCTCGCTCACGACAATGGACGGCATCCTACAAGTCTGAACGCTGATCTCCCCCCAACATTGTGTCCCAAAAGACGTGAGGCCGGCAACTCTCCGGAAAACCCTATGTGTGAAACAGAAGTAATTCATTGCCGAAATTTATGGGTTTCCTATGACCGGATCGAAATCCATGCCCGAAATCGGTAACCCAAACTCTGTGGTCAAAATCGGTTTCATTCGCCCCAATTTGTCGTCGCCCTGAGCCATGACATGAGATGCCTTGCTGCCCTAAGGGGCTGTCAAAATAGGGAACTGGGTCCCAAAAAGGGTGGCTTTCCTTTTGGTTCCCTTGGAAACCATCCTTAAAAGGGTATCATGTGACGAGGTCTGTTGCCAAGAACGATCCTTGATTTGGAGTATGGAACTGGTCAAACACGGAGCGTTAAAAGACCGCGCCGGATATGGCGAGAGGAAACAAAAAAGTAAAAAGTCGAGTACAAGTCGAACCCTGTGAAAAACCCGCGGTGCCGTCCTTGCAGCACGAACTGAAAGGGAGTGCGGCACGGCTATTCAGACCTCTGTTGCTTTCTGCTCCCCTGCTCAACTTCTAGTGGTTTAATGGACAACCCATTCGTTGGCAAAAAGTTAAAGTCCTAACATCCCTTGGCAAAATGCACCAAAGAAACTAGGGTGGGAAGAAGGGCACGAGCCACAGCAACCCGCAAGGGCGAGGGAGACAATCCCCTGACGGTCCGGTGTAGTTGGTAGGAATTTGGGTCCCCTCTGACATCCTTTCCCCACGATCCGGCTTTATGTTGTCCTGCGAAACAAACACCCTTGATAGGACTCGTATTCTCCACGGGCTCCGCCGTTCTTCGCATCATCTCAACACACCGTAACCTCACGATTGGCTGGATCTATCTCAGCTTGTGCTCCCAACCTGACATGTCTAGACAGCCAATATCTCAGATGCCCAGTGGCCATGCCAAAAAAAGGGCATCCTTTTTTGGTTGGTTGACAATAAAGGGAAATTCTTCCCCAAAAAAGGAAAGACGGGCACCACCCCACCTCAACCACCTCAATCAACCCATGTTCACCTGAGCGCCGCTGGGTGCCCGGCGCGGGCGTGCCGCCGGCTTCGCGACGGCGGAGCGCGACGCGAGACACGCGCAGCGACCGACGTCTCTGAGCCGAGAGCCGAGGGGCGAGGGCCGAAGCGTGACGAGCGACGTTCGCGGAGTTTGGTAAGGGCTCTACTTGCTGGTGCGATAGGTGAAGATTTCTGGGATGGCTGGTCTTTGGTGTGACCGAGTTGCCTTAGACCTTTTGTAAACAAATGGCTTTTCCATTCAGAACCGGAAGGGGATTCCCTTCAAGGAAGCCACCAGTTGGATGGTTTTCTTGGGGTCATTGTTCTCATTCCCTGCCTATCGCAGCAGCAAGTCTACGGGGTGTGGACGAAAATGAGATCACACACTTTTGAGGCAAGTGCTCGCCAAGCCTCGAAGGACAGGGAAAAAGCTTCCCACATACCTCAGGGGTGGAAGAATTCCTTGAGGAACCCTGGGGCTTGCGGGCTAGAGGTCCCAGGGCTCTCCTTGGACAAATTGGGATTGGGGTCCGCAGAAATCGCCGGGGATTTGGCACATCCACCCCTCAACTGCTTTTTCTCCCATCTCCAGAGATGCTCTTTGGATGGGCATTCGGAAGCTCAGGATCCAACAACCTGTCTCTCGGCCTGGAAGCCTCTTGGGGTGGCATTGCTTCACTGGCAAGACCGGTGCTTTGCTTGTTGGCCGCCTGGCCGGCACGACTGTTTACCTCGTCTTTGGGCGTATCTATCTTTTCTCAAACGAGGCCTCACCAAAATCCCGCGCGCTTCTCTCACACCTAACAGGCCCTTGTTTGCAGTCACGAAACCTCAGACGGCTCTCAGCTCAAAATCAAAAAGTCACAACGTGCTGCTGGTCCGCAGGAAAATGAAGGAAACCCAAGAGCACACAAGGGCAAGTTGGCTGTCAGATCCCCAGCGATCAGTTCCACTTGAGGGATAAATAAAGACCAAAACCAAATCCAAAACCCCAAAAAAACCTAAAGAACCGCATGGCTGGGAACCACCAAGGCAAGGGGTGAGCTAAGTCCAACAAAAATCGAGCCACAGGATCCCGCACTTCGACGCTTCTGGCGGCGCGAGCTTCTGGCGCTTCTGGGGTCCGGGCCGCGCTGAGATGGCCACCGCTAGCTCCAGGGCTAAAAACCTGGGCCCCAGAGTCACGGTTCCGCTTTGGTGCAGTGTTGGCTCAGACAAGGGAAGCATGCGAAACGACCCAGTGAACCAACCCCAGCCAGAGGCTCCAATTCGATGGATTTAGTTGGTCTTCAAACCACCTAAACTTTGAGACAGGTCCTCAACCAATTCTTGGGGTGTCTAATGGAGGGGTCAGGTCTTCCATTGAAAGCCCCAGAACCCTCTGGGCAGAGTCACCATTCCGCTTTTGTTAGTGCAGTTTTCTGGGCTCAGAACAGGGAAAATGCGTAATGCGTGCACCGCAAACAAGAGAAGCAAACGAAACAACCACCCAGACAACATCGCGATCCTTATAACGGAAAGCCCCAGCTGGCGCATGCGGTGGCGCCGTTTTGAGCTGGTACTGATGCACCCAAAGGGTGGCGCTTTCTGAGTGTTCAGCTTGCCACCGGAAAGGAAGGTCGGGTGAACTTCCGAGTCCCGGCAAGTCTCTTGCCATGCTTTCGGGGATGATGGAAAGTGCCGCCATGTTGCTTTCACCAACCATGGGCACTCCAAATAAGACCGGGACCTCCGATGCAGATTTCCCGCCCTAGTTTTTCAGGACAACCAGCCGAGACCCTTGTGGTAGGGTAGATATATCACTTCTCAAGCTCCGGCACTGTTTTGGAAAATGTCTCCTCCAACCTGTTCAAGTACAAAGGGGCGAACACCCAAAGCCCAAGCCCGAACTGGTTCTTCATGGCAAAACCCCTCAGTGCACACCCACTCTTGGCCCCAACTATCAATTGGAGCGGGAAGCTCGATGAAGCTCGATGGAAAAGAACCTGCCTACCTCCCGCCCATTTGGCCTTGTCAATCCCTTGGGCGCCAAAACACTGCACCTTTCCGAGAGCCGGCGCAAAGCACACATTTGTCCACAGGGTTCCTCACATGTTTTTCCCTCACCTGGTGAATGGCCATAGATGCAAGCAGAGTCTTGACCCCTGGCCAAAGCTGTCAAGACTCAGGGTTTGTCTCAACATTGGAGCAACGAAAGGGTGGTTCCCTTTGGTTTCAGTCTCAAATCACACCCAACAAGGGGTGCCCTCTAGGAAAAACAGCACACACACACACACACACACGCTGAGGAAGCTCAAGCTCGTCTCCAAAGGAAGCACCGGGTCAAACATCAAAATATGTTTTTCTGTGCCAAGCGCGGTCTCATGCCGCGCGCACAAGACACAAGAGGCCCGCACAGACCATGCCAGGCCGCGTCCGGCACTTCCGGCCAGTCCTCACGACTCAGCATTTGAAACCCGAGGTCTGGACGTCCTGCCACAGACATGGACCCAACCATAGGCATCCCTTGTGGTAGAAAAAATAGATGGAATTCCCTGGTTTAAATGGGGCCAATAGCCCATCTAAACCAGTGCCAACTCTATTTTTGACCAAACCTAGAAAGGACACCTACGGACCCAAACCCAATTGGCCAGAGAGTTCAATTGGCCGTGGCTCGATCCCAAAATGACACCCGAAAAATGGCACCGGTAATGGAAACAAGGACGTACACTTGCGTGACGCCAGAGGAGTGAGTACTCAAGCTAGTTGCAAGGGAACTACACACACACCCATTCCCTCACATGGCAAGGTGTAAACAGCCAAACAAAGCTGAAGAGGCTGGAAAAACCAGCCATCACCACAAAAACAGCGTCTTTTGTCCAACAAAACAAATACAAACTCCCCCTCAACGTTGTTTCATTCCCAGTGGGCCGGAACAACAAAGCGGAGGCCCAGCGTCAGCTCCACGCTCCTGGAGGAACTCCAGCCTCGAGATGGGGCGCTGTTGGGGGGTCCAACCCGTGTGGTCTGTCATTGCCATGGAGCGGGTGCCGTTTAAAGGAGAACTCGGCGAAGCCACCCCGAAACCTCAGAACCGTTCCACGGCAACGCGGGAATGGAAAGCACCATCTTTCCAACATGGAAGCTGATAGATTCGGGCTTTTAACGACTACAGTCCTCTGGAAATAGGCCCCCGGTCCACTTCCATTGTTGGAAAGACCTGGGGTTGAGTCCCCAACGCCAGGGTTATCCCCAAATCCCTTCAGAAAATGGCAGCCATGGGACAATTTGCGCCCTGGACTCGCTGCCCTGTGGACTTAGAAATCCACGGGAATCGGCGCCACTTGGCCATCGCAACTCAGATTTGGCCCCTCCACCGTATGCCAAGTTCGCGGTCGTTGTTTGTAACCTGGGTGGCGACCCACTAAGGCGCCACAAGTGGAGCTTACCGTATTGCTAGGTTACAAGCCCGGGTGCCAAACACTTTCTACCTTGGTGGCCAAGTCTAAGTGGGATATACCCTAATTGCATGGAACTCATGGAAAGGGGATTTATTCACTAGGGAGATGAATCTCTTGCCTGACGCAGCAGCTGTCTAAGAGGTTGGTTGAAGGGTGGCTTCCAAGCCAAGCTAAGCCTACAAATGATGTCATTGATTGGTATTCCTTTTGGGTTGAGGCGATTCAAGGAACACACCTCTGTTCAAAAAGCTCCTCATTTGGAAGCGCCCGAAAGATACTCACATTTCAAATGTGTCACAACAGGGTCAAGCAAAATTCACTGGGTCGAAGACAAGAAGACACTTCGAAACAATGGAGTTCGGAACGCGCAAATTTCGGCTGTCTGCATGTGTGGAGGAGGAGAGTGCTGGGGTAGGGTCCCCTTGAGCTTTGCCTATTGATGCTCCCATTCCACTTTCGGGGCAAGGCCAAGGAAACCCTTCCATCTACATGGATCAGTTGTTGCAAGGGAGCAACTTCAATACTGCGAACCCCGATCTCCTGAAGGCAAACCTTCGCAAGCCCTCAATCAGAAGAAGAGTGGGGAAACCGAATGAACCGCAAGACGTGATCACCAAGCCACATGTATCTAAGATGATATGCTCTGAATGGAGTTAGTACTGCCATTGGCCTTTCAGGTGCCACGGCAGCACAAGATTCCTCAGTCGTCACCCTTTAAAGCCACATAACAAAAAAAAGAGGCAAGTCCCCAAATAACAAAACAAATGGAAGTGAATGTCACAAATTGGTTCACTTCACAGATTCTAAAGCAAGACAACAAAAACTGCAATCGGAAGTGAACTTTGCAAGTTGGTTCACTTCACACATGGCTATGGCTCAAAACCCCGTACCCCCAGTGAACATTAAAATAGGTTCTAAAATGGGTGGCGCACCTAGGCACCTACTAACCAAAATGGGATCCCGTTGGTGTTGGCAACCACGGCCACAGTGGAACGGGACGCATTTCACGTGAAGAAACCCTCAAAAAAACAAAACTCCGCGCCCCCCCCCCCCGGATTTTTGGCTGCAGCTCGCCTCTCGCTCTCGCTCTCGGCGAGCACTTCCGGCTCAGGCCTGGGCGAGCACTTCGCTCGGGGCCTGGGGCCTTTGAACACCAGCTGAACATCACAATAAGTGGTACCTCCGCCCCAAAATGGAGGCATAGGTTATGACCCATGGCCAGATAAATTCATGTCCACCAACATGGGTGTTATCCAATTCTTAAAAGAATGGGGAAACTCAAATGGGATAGCTATCTGACCTGGTTCTATCATGGCACTTAAGCAAATAAATGTTCCTAATTATTTAGCTGTGTGTAACTATTTGGGTGTGTCTCTTTTGGGGGGCACCCAACAATTGCTTGGTTTTCACAGTGCTCCAAGGTCTTAGTGGCACTTTCTGCTGTCCCCTAAGTCAGACGCATCTAAGGAGCTGAACGGGCCTGTGCTTAAAATCAGGGAGACACCCCAACATCGTTGGTTTCCCTTTCGTTTCCCTGTAACAAACAGCCCCAAAAAGAGATCCCCCCGAAAAATGAGACACCGATGTCCCCCCCCCCCCACCCGTTTTTCCGTCACCTCGGCTCCCGGCTCGAGCGGCGCCGGCCAGAGGTGCCAGGCGCGCTGGGAGAGATGCGACAGATGCGATGCGGTGTTTTGGCAGACCTAAAGGGGAAAAGCCTCCCAAAAAATGTGTCGTACACTTCTTGGGCATGTTGATTGTAACCAGGGCTGCTCGACCAAAACAATGCCCAACTCTCATCCCTTCGCTCCCCATATCTTCTTCCTCTTTTTAAGCTTGTCCCAAAACTGGGCTGTCCGTTTTCAGACCCCCCCTAAAAGTGACTCACTTTTAGTGGGTGAAATTGAAAAATCCAACCGCTGAACGCTAAAAGGCTGAAAAGTTACATCCCATATAAGACCTCAGCAAGCCCAACACTCACCCGAAACCAGCCCGGAGCAGTGGCCGCAGTCCCGGCGAGGCCGCTGATGCTGGGGATGCTGGGGATGCGGCCACCCAACCAACCAACCAACCAACCAACCAACGAACGAACGAACCAACCAACCAACCAACCAACCAACCAACCAACCAACCAGTCCCCTGGCCGGGGCTAAGCCCCAAGCCGGGGCTAGGAACAAAAAAAAAACGGCTCCGTTTTCGGGGGTCACCCAAAACAAGCACGCACCAAATGGGATCACAGAGCAGGGATGCACCCATTGATCTCATAGCCCCCACTTCAGCTCGAGACATGGTTCTGGGCCCAAACTCAGGAGATTCGCCGTGCATTTCGTCCCAAGTGAGCCACAGCCTTTCTTGGAGCATAGGCGCTGGACGAAGGAAAGCAACGGCTGCGACTTCCCCAGGTGCCGGAAACTGAGAGGGGTCTTTGATGTGGCAAAAGGACCCGTTCTAGAACCCTTGGTTTACTGGTGAATCCATCAGTTTGCTGTTAACCCAGGGATCCCACATGGCCATTGCTCTTCTTGCCGATTGACCCCGGAACGTCGCGCGTCGTCCGAAACCCTCTGGCCTCGCCCCCAAGGGCCAAGGCCACTGCAAGGCCGACCCTTCCGACGAGGCTCATTGGGTCAAAAACGACCCCCGCAGGGCTCCGATCTCAAGCCGTGGACGTGTCTTGGTGCTTTTGTTGTGAGGCCTCAACCCGATTTGTTCTTGCGGTCCAACCAGATGTGCTGCAAGCATGTGCTCAAATCCAAATGTTTGCTTGCGGCCCTGCGCTGCAATGGCTTGTGGTGCTCTAGGAGAGGTGCTGAACCAACCTGTCGGTCAAATTCATACAGGCTGATGGGCCAGACGAGCGACGGGTCGACAGAGCTTCAAGTCCGTACCTTCAAAAGCTGGTCGGGTGTTTCAGGAAAACCCCAATGGACCTTCTGTTTCCTCCACCCAATCGAACAGGCCACGAATGGTCAAACCGGTAACCAACGTGCTCGCCCCACCCAAAGAGGAACCAGAATCCACCTAGGGTTTTTCAGCCAAAAAGAAACCATGATCTCGGCGCAACCCTCGCACCAATCATTTGTGTGCTTGATCATCAAATTCGGGGTCTCAGAAAGGGCATGTTAAGGAAAAGGGGAGAGACGGGATCTCGCCGTACCGGTGCGCAAAACAAAATTGGCCTATCCAAGCATAATTTCCCCTTAAGCCTGCTTAGATTTAAATAGATTTGCTTCGGCTAGATTCCCCAAACCTTCCCCAAGTTCACTGCTTGGCAGTTGGTTCGCAGGTAATATCCACGATGACTAAGAAGTTAACCTACATTTACTTATATATATATATATATATGTGTGTATATATATATATATAAGTATATACATGTGTATATTTATATGTGTATTTATATATATATATATGTATATATATATATATGTATATACATGTATATTTCTATACATCCCACTTAGGGGAGACATGACCAGAGAATTCAACCACTCTAGTGGTCATCCCCAGGTCGCCTCTTTTCCGCAAGTCACTCCTCCTCAAACTCCGCGTAGTCATCCTCATCCTCATCCTGTTCGAACTGCGGGTACGCCTCCTCGAAGGAAATGGCCTCGCATCCAGCTCGGAGCGCTCTCCAAATGGACGTCTTTTTGTGAGGGTATCCTCAGATCCCCAGCTAAAAGCGACTAACTTTTAGTGGGTGAAATGGAAAAATGCCCACTAAACACTAAAAGGCTGAAAGGCTAAAAACGATGGCTGGTAACCCTTTTGGTTTAGTTTCAGAGAGAAGCCCAGACCCGACTGGATTTGTCAGAACATTGCGGGGCAACCCCAAATGGGTTTCTTGAAACAGCCCGAATAATTGTGATATCAAGAAAGATCCCCTTGCAACTTAGGCGTTTCGCAGAATGGGGCTCCCTATTCTGAGACAGACCCACGTAAGCTTACAGGGTAGCAATCACTAGCTAACGTTGAATTCCCAATCAAAGAAAAACAGCCACCCCTTTCAGTTTGTTTTCACCCGCTTTCCAGAACTCCAGATTTCCTTGTAGGTCAGGGAGAATATGGCGTCCATTTGATTAGTGCCCAAAATCTCACAACCCAAAAATAATTGCGGCAGGCTTCAAACACCTCTGAAGTGTCCACCCGAGCGCCGAAGCTTCGATTCGGCCGATTCGGCACGGGGGGGGGAGCACCACCCCACCTGCGAGCTTCGCGCTTCGGGTTTTCTTGGTGCCCAACTTCCCAGCGCGCAACCCAAACCTCTTGGGTTTGATGCGAGCAGCTTGGGAGCCAGGACTACCTGAGGACCCAAGACATTGGCATTTGGGGAACCAACCGCAAGCAATGTTCGAGAAACCATGCATCAAGCATGGAAGGTGTACCAATCTTCCTGCCGCCGGCCAGTCGTGCAACTCCCCCAAAGCTTGAAACTTTTGGTCTACTGAAATGAGGAAACCGAAGCGGGTCTTGGCGCATTTCGTGACACGGATGACCTAACATCGAGCAGGCTTCTTTGGTGTCTAAGCCTTGCTTGTTGGTTTGTCGCACATGGACCAGGCCAACACCTCCCCTGCGGAAGCCGGCGCTCTCCTCCTTGGGGGTTTGGCTTCGAGGATGGGGGTTTTGGGGGGGTTTGGGGGGCCCCAAACCCCCTCCCCCAAACCAAACCCCCCCTTCCCCAAATCGTCCCCCCCACCCAACCCCTCCCCCAAATTGCCCCCCACCCCCCCACCTCCCTCTGGTTCTCCTCCACCTCGGCCTCGACCTCGGCGTCCGCCTTTTCCCGCAGCTCGGAATCCACGAGGTGCAGGTCCCGCAGCAGCGCGGCGAACTCCGGCGGACGGCCCAGGAAGGCCTACGGAGCGAATACCCAGACCCCACCCCCCACCCACCCCCGCACCCCCACCCAAGGTGTATTCGGCGTTGCCTTCTTTTTTGTCAGTTTTTGTCATCCTTTGACCGTACCTGGCCTTGTTTGAGCTTGTTTGGCTTTATTTGGGCTTGTTTGGGGTTTGGCTTGGCGGTGTTTGCGCTGGTTTGGCATTATTTGCCCTTGTTTTTCCTTATTGCTTTTGACTTGGCCAACGTATTCTTACTTGAGAAAATCGACGGGGAGGGAGGGTTTGATCCTGTGCAAGCCTGGCTCCAACACTGCTGAAGAAAGTTCCCGAGGCTCACAGAAAGTGGGTGGGGTGTTTTCTTGAGGGTACCACTTTGTCAAGGAATAACCAAAATGGAGAATCGGCTTACAAGGCACACCAAAAAATACACCGATCCCGATTTGCTTTCCTTTCTTCGCGAATCTCCGAAACAGGTTCATTCCCAACACCCTCACTTGGTCATTCCCCACCTATCGCACCAGCAGAAAAAGAACCTAAAGGAGCTGCCTCAAAAGGAAGGTAGTCTTCCAAAACCCTCCCGTTTTTTGTGTAGAGAGTAAGAAAACACCAAAGCACCAGATTCCCTCAACACGTGTTGGTCTAAAAGTTATTTGCGACCTTGGGGCCACTTTACCTCATGATCGGTAAAAAAATGGCAAGAAGGAAAAAACACCCTGGAATTCAAACAACCCTTAAAGCCCAAAGGTTGGGTTCATACCACCATTGTTTTCTATTGATTGACATCATCCAAATTGGGACCCTTTTCCTTTACCGAGTCCCGCACGTCAGGTTAATTGCTGGGAGGGTAACGAGGGTTGAACCAGCCCAACCCAGAGGCTGCAATTCGATTGATTAGTACCAATTCGCGGGGTGTCTAATGTCACGGGGGCTGGGGGGGAGGGAGGGGAGGGGGAGTATTTTGGGCAATGGGCTCCGAGCTCGTGGCCTCCAGCGCGCTGCCGGGCGCCCTGCCGCCCCCCGGCGCCAGCACCTCCCGCCGGAACCGCGCCCCCACTTCGCCCAGCGCATCGGGAGAGCCCGAAGCGGCCGCGTCCTCAATGGGAACCCTTGGATCTGGTTGCTTTTTTGTGGTGGTGTCCCCATTTTGGTGCAAAACACCTCACTTGTTTGTGGAACCCCTGAAAAACAGCTGAGAGATGGGGGTGGGGTGTCCGCCGGATCCAGGTGCAACGTCTGGGTGCTGTTTTGTGGGGGTGTCCCCACCTTAGTGGGAACCCCTGATTGATTCTGAGAGAAGTGGGGTGTCCCCTTTTAGCAAAACGTCATCACTGCCAAAGTGAACACCGCCCTCAAAAGTGGTTTATTAGGGATTAATGGCCAAGGGTTTGTTTGATCACTCCGGGGATAGCATGGACCTGTACTTGCTTCATGCTTGTTGCGAGGTTGAAGAATGTTGCACCCTCCAACAACTGCGTGTTTCCCCCCGCCCCCCGGCAATGACAGTCAGATGGCCCCCTTAAATAGCTTTTGGATCTTTTCAAACATGTGATTTGTTTCAAGCATTCGTTTGAACATTCTTCGAATAGCTCTGATGTGCCACTGCAATTGCAGGAAGGGCCTAGAACAACTGGGGTATTAGTTTTGATTGGAAACTGCGGACGTCATTTAAAATGACGCAGAAGGGCGCCTTGTTGCCAGCTCAAGGCAGTTGTTGCCAGAAGCTGGTTCCCCACTGGCCCCAAATAGACTTCCCTTCCGCCTTCTTCCAAGGGGAGGCTTCCCCCGGAAAGGACCAAGCACCCTAACGGTCCCGACTGTTTTGGGCTCCTCCAAATGGGTTGGGTTCTCCATTGGAGGGTCCGGAAATCTGCATTGGAGGGGTCATTACCCGGGCACATGGAAAAACTCCCCGGTTGGATGAGTCCTACCTTTCACGATGCCCGGAAAGGTCTAAAACAAACATTCATGGACCGGAGCTGTTCTTCGTCTCCTCATCGGCTCATTCACTGGCATTCATGGTGTAAATCGGGTTAGCACACTGCAGATGATTTCCTCCCAAAAGGAGGTGGTCGCCCAACTAATCAACAGGGGACCTCCATTCTTGCAGGTCCCAACTGATTCTTTCTGGGTTTGTGCCAAAATAGGTGAACCCCCCCAAAATGGGGGCAGGGGGGTTCCCTTTAATTTCCGCTTGCTCATAAGTAGCTAGACGGAGTAGCTAAACGGTCATCCACATAGGTGCCCTTTGGCAAGAATAGATGGAGTTCTTGGTAAATGGGGGGTTTATGCCCCATCTAAACAACAGGGCCAACTCTATGTTTTAAGCAAACCAACCAACAAGGCCACCTATGGAGTCATCCACGTTCCGCATCGCCTCGCTGTTTTTTCTCTTTTTTTTTCTCGCGGGACGTCGGGGGCCTGGAAGGTCCGGAAGACGTCCGCAGCCAGAGCCTCTGACCAGAGATCCCCGTAGAAGACCCCGGCCTTCTCCGTGTTGAAGGGCAGGCTGCAGAGCTCACGGTCCTGGGTCCTCGCCAAAGGCAGCATGAGGGATTCAAGTGGGACTTCGGGGGCAACCCGGATACTAAGAAATGCATGTTGGTGTATTTTTGACATCTTGGGATATTTATTTGGACCAAGATAGAATGCTCAGATTCTCTGTCGTGCCTTAGTCCACCTGAAAATGTGTTGGTGGTACTTGGGTCTCCTTTCTTTCTTTTTGATGCGGATGTCGGTCATTCCTGGCCCCTTGGGATACGCCAAAAGAAGACGTTCAGATTCGATGTCGTATTTAGATCTGCAAACCTTCCTTGTGGTACGCATGTTCGTCATTCCCGGCCCCTTGGCTCCCCCAAATATCCCTGGCAGGAAGTGCCACTAGTGTTCGCTCCCGCTGCGGCATGGCCACAGAAAGACATGTTTAGAGGTTCTCAGAGAAAAGGTCATGCCCCGAGTTCGTATGTCGGTGCTGGCTCCCCGTTGAATCATGGATAGTATGTACCCATTTTGGGGAGATGGGGTCATATGGCCGAGGGGTAAGGGGATGTTAACAACTACCTCTAGATGTGCTTCAATCAAGGTACTTAAAGGAGTCTGCCCCAAAAGTTGTGTAAGGAAGCGTCCTTGGCGACCACAGCTATCGACTGGGTGTTGAGCAAGCGGCTATGGGCTCAAGTCACCAGTCCCAAGCCAAACGAAACCCCTTCCAAGACCACAGGTCCCAATGGTGTTGCTGGGCTTAAGCAGACACTGCCGAGCGCCATGGATTTGGTCGCTGGATGTCTTGGGAGGCTGACCCTTGAGACTGGCTGTCCAATGAGGGCATATGTGTGTGACCCCGATTGAAGGGAGATTTGAAAGAGGGGTTGGGGCAAGAAATGGACAGGTTTTCATATTGGCTTCATGGAGCCGATTGAGCTCCTTGCCTCCATTCGAGTATCGTGATCTTGAATCCAGCTCCTCTCGAACGAAAACGAATCATCCCTGCTCCCAGTTCTGCAACCCGACCGACCCCCGACTCGGCGACTCGGCGGCCTCGGCCGCACTACGGAGTACTCGGCCTCAATCAGCTTCCCAATGTCGAAGACCTAACGTGTCAAAACTCCTCGCTCCGAACGAGTTGCCCAAAGAAAGCCCCCGGACTGTTTGTCGCCACTATGCTCCAAATCCAAAAAAGCAAAACGGTCCATGAACTCAGGAAGTGAGTTGGGTATGTGTCAAAGGAGCACCCCTCCAAAATCGTGGGTGTTCCCTTTGGTTTCCCTTCAAACCAACTTAAAGGCGGTCCTGGTCGTTCTTTCACCTTGTTTCGCTCCCGTGTCCTTTGTTGGTTTCCCCAAGCGCCCGTGTCTCTAAACTTGGGATCCCCTTTCTTTTCTTGAAACCAAGAGGAAACCTTTTCTCCTGGAAGAATAGGTCACATGATTTGACTAGGTCCTCCAGATTTGAGAGGTTAGAACAAGGGTACCGTTTCTTCTTTCTGTCTGTTTTGATAATTAGGGGAACCCTCCCAACCAAAAAAGGGGTGAGAAAGGCCAGTAGTGGGGTAGTTGAGAAACACCCACGACCAAACTCGGGGGAACCGTCGCCCGCCCGCCTGAAGGTCGCTGTAGGGGTCGTAGTCCGAGTGGATCTCCAGGTCGATCCGCGCCAAAGCACAGCGCCTGTGACTCGGATGTGAAGAGAACGCCGAAACCGAATGGTGAAAGACAGTTTCCCACTCACCCCCGGACCAAACCCCAAGGCCCAAAGAAGACATATGACGTTTCCCGGCTTCTGTATCCTAATTTGCTCTTATGTTCGCAAGACATACGACAATTCGGGCTGATTTACCCCTAAGTTGCTCTCATTGTTGGCTTCCCCTTCAGGGGTGTGTTCCGGGGGTCTGGTGGTGCAACCTTTGAAACAACCCTAGACTCATGAATGGACAACGAGCTTCCCAATGAGACAAAGCCCATTTGAGTCATGCCCATGCCCCACTGTCGACTCCGAGCGGAGAAAATTCTGGGGGAAGCTCCCATTCTTTCCAGGGATCCTTCTTTTCAGGAAACCATAAAAAAAACCCATGGGAAAAAAGCTGGTTTTGGAAAAGAACGATGGTTGAAACCAAAACGAAGGAAAACCGCATAGGCAAAGGGGCAAAAAGGCCAGCTGAGTCTGGCAATGACCAACATGGGTCCGGGTCTAGGGATCTGGACGGAACCTGGTATGGCATCGGTGTTCCTGCTCATGTCACTTCAAACCAACCTGCAAAGGGTACCAAGCCTCCAGAAACACACCCCTACCCTTCCCAAACCGAAGGCGGGAAAGGCTCCTCTTGACGGGTGCTTCTCGGCGCCATGACAACTGGAACTAGGGACAGCAAAGGACCTTCATGGATGTTCGCTCGAATTCCCCTCCCCCCGCCCCCCCGAATCGATTGAATTTGTGTCGCTTTGGTATGACTGCAATTCCAGTACATGTGGAAAATGAGTTCCTTCTGCGATGAGGAAATCCCCTTGATGTCGTAGAAAGAGCCTGTGGGGCGTGTGCTTGCCTTCAGACTGTTTCATGTCCGGCATCTGTTGCAAGGACAAAATAGACGGCAAACTCTTCCATTTGTCTCGTATTGCGGAAAGAACACCCCCCCCCCTCCACCCCGAAAAGAGTGAGAGAGAAAGCGTGTCGTTTGAGTCATAGCTCCACGTGAGTTGTCCATGCATTTGAGCCCCCAACCAATCATCACCCCGAAGGAAACTCAAGTCAAACTGACAACCCATTCGCAGGAGATCCCGTTTCCATATCCAAGCCGAGCTTGTCAATGGCGTCACATTTGAGTTGCTACCCTTGTTGGCGAAGGGACACCGATGAAAACACCCCCCTGGTTTCTCACTTCCAAGACCAGGCTCCACTTTCTGGAGTTTGGGGGGTGGACAATGCCCTCAAAAACTTCCAACTAACTCTCCTGCCTCTCCCCCCCACTCCCCAAACTCTGCCCCAAGGTTTTCCCACCTGGCTGGGTCAAACCCAATGGTACCATTTTGGGGTAGGTGCACCACCCATTTTAGAACCTATTTTAGTGGGGATGGGGGCACAGGATTTTCACCCATGGCCACCTCATCCCGTCAACTCCGCACTCCGCAACCAAACCGAGCCCCGAGCCCCGCCTCAGCAGCGCGTTGGCCCGGTGGAAGGTCCGACTCGCCGCCAGCGCCTGCAGCGCTGCAGGCGGCAGCGGGTCCTTCGTCTCCACGTGCCGCGAACACGCCGCCAAGGTCTCCGGCTCGAAGGCCCAGCGCGCCTGCGCTTCGCTCGGCGTAAGGGCAACTTCTATGGGCACTTGTTTGCCCGGAATCCGGGTCAAAGTTTCCCCCGTGTCCTTCACCCCCACCCATGGTGTTCTTATTTATTCACCCTCCCACCAATTAACATGGAACCTCACAGGCCGCCAAACATGCTCAGGCTCCATGTGGATTGCTGGAAAGAAGTATTCCGTTCCCCCCATGCGAAGGTGGGGAAGAAACAGAAAGGAAAACGGGAGAAGTTGAAAAGGAAGAAGGGAAATGCGCATAGGTGTCCTTTTAGAGGACATAGATGGCCCTATGATTCAAAAACCAGCTAAACCAGGAATCGCCATCTTGTTTTTCTACCAAAACCACCCAAAAAGGACACCTATATATGGAAGTGCGGTGGTTTTCCCCTCCCGCCCTTTTCAAGGCGGTGACGATCGGTTTTTTTCCCCCGATCCCCTGCCCGCTCTTGGGGCGTTTTTCTTCTCCCCAACTTTTTCCCCCGGCCAGGAAGTGGCTGGGCAGCTCCAGCACGTCCTCCTCCAGGCCCAGACTGCCCGCGACCAAGCCCTCCCTCTGCCGGCAGAAGAGCTCCCGCAGCCCCGAGCCGAAGGTGCGGAAGACCTGGACCACCTGAAACGGCTTTTTTCGGCCCCGGCTTTTTCTCGGCGCTCGGCCCCGAGAAACCTATGATTTGTCGGAAAAAAATGGAAAACCATGTATTATATACATACATATATATATATATATAATTTATTTACTTATCTATTTATTTATTTATCTATATCTGCACCTGCAAAAAAAAAAAAAACACGGAACCATTACCCGGCTTCGACCCGGTTTTTCGGCGTGGGATTCGTTACAAAGCACATGGGCTCAGTTGCTCTATCTATTCATTTGAGGATGCTTCGGCCCGGGCTTTTCGGCGGTCGGAGGCGAGAATCGTGGGGCTGGGGGGGAGGAGGGGGAGGGAGCCCCAAATAAGGCCTTATTAAGGGCTTGATAAGGGCTTATTTGGGCTCCCTCCCCCTCCCCTCCACCATGAGATAAACATTTGCCCGGTTTTTCGGCGTCAACCATGTATAATATATATATATATATCTATATATGGTCATGTATCTATAAATGTAAGGATTTAGTTGTTTGTTTAGTCGTTTTTTCTGGTGTCTTTCAGTGGAGTTGAGATGAATTGGGTTTAGTTCAATCCAATCCATTCCATTCCAATCCATTCCATTCCATTCCATTCCATTCCATTCCATTCCATTCCATTCCATTCTAATATATTTGTTGGATTTGGTGAGAAGGCTTAGTTTCATATAAGCATGAATGTTTGTGCGAGCTTATATTGGAGATTCACTTAAAAAGCGAAAGAAACGCTGTAGGTGTGTTGTACGGCATGGTTCGACAAATTCAATGTCCTCAGATCCCTTGCTAAATAGTTTCACGGAAACGGTTGGATCGCGCATAAGTCTTATTAAGTGGCACGGAAAAGGTGGTTCGATCGCTTTTGAGCCTTTGTCTTAGTCCTAGCAATCATGGTTAGTTGGTACCAAAGAAGTTTGGATCTAGCGGTTGCCTTTGAGAAGTTGCGAAGCCGCCCATCGTTTGAAACTTTGAAGGAAGACGAGGCTTGTCGTGCTCGGTGCCATGACCTGAAAATGTCGCACCCAAGGTGAAAGAGGAAACACGGATGCAACGCCAAACCTCGCAAATGCCGGGGCTTCCCTGAAAACAGAGACCTAACCCCATTTGAAGTTGGGTCGAACCGCCCCAATGCCAAGAATCTCGAAAATCAGCTTTGTTGTCGAGCAGCGAGGAACACCAAGGGAAGGTAAAACAATAGAAACCACCCAGCCGGTTGGTTTCTGCTTCCCCTTCCCAAAAGAAACAACGCCAAGGGTTAGCGCAAGCGCAAAAGCGCGCTTGCCTCGCGGTGGGTGAGCAGCGCAGGAGCCTTGGACAGGCGAAGGGGTCGTGGATGTTGTTTGGGTGTCCATGAAAACTGCCACTTGGGGGTTAATCAAGAGGTCCGCGATACATGGGATGACCATCAGGGAAACCACCCAAACAGATACGACTTTCACCACATGGTCAGTTTGGCGCCAGGAATATTGATCAGCTACCACTTTGGAAGGTTCCAAAAATGGAGAAGCCTTGTGGCATTTGAGGAGTAAAAACAGCCGGCGCGGTTCAAGCTGAGGGATCTGGGCAAATCATGATATTTCGTTCACCGGAAATAAGGAAATCCCAAGTAGAATGGCTTGTTTTGACCCCAGATCAGGAACAGGTCCCTATGACTTGACAATGGATCTCTTGCAGCTGGCGCGTTTCAACCCCAAGCCACAAAATTTAGCTTCTGATCACAGGTGACAAGCTTCAGCTTCCACTTCTCGGTGCCGGAAACCCGAAGTTTCTCCAAGACCCGTTTGAAGCCAGACGGCACTGCATGCCCTGCCGGGGTACACCCTGTGGTCCAATTCATATTCACCATCCAGCCTCACACCAAACAAAAAATCTTTGCGGACCAATGGATTGGTTGAATCCCCCCCCAAACAACAACTCCCCCCCTCCACTTGTTGTTCGAACCCAACCCCTCCCCCACAACAAACCCCCGCACCCCTTATCGAAGGAGTATCCCACACGCCCCACTTCCCTTCCCCCCGCCTCCGGCAGGTCGAAGACGAAGTGCACCGCCGGGCGTCTTGGGCCATGCCGGTCCCCCAGGAGCTCCGAATAGCCCTGGATCTTGGAGGACCAAAAGCCTCAGGCGCGCGCCTGCAGAACCGGAAAAAGGATCCGGCTGGGGGCGTATGATGAACACTGAAAAGGGGTCGAGGTTGATTTTCAACAAGCATACAACTTTGTTAAAAACCGTGGTATTGGTTCCGGGGATCAACCTCCTTCGTTTAGGGGGTTGGCTTTTGAGGGTTCTTGGCTGCAACATATACTCTAAGTGTCCATGGCACAGGTGGGCCCTGAAGAACGGGAGTGAATCTTGGTGGGCGCTTTGAACAGAATTCGGTGGGGATTCAAATGTAAAAATCATAGCCATATGGGCGCGCCTTTTCTGAGGCTCGGCAACGCAAATGGAAACCACAAGGAGAACCACCTGTTTGTTGGGGTCCAAACCCCTAGTTTGAGGCAAATCTAGAAAAAGAGTTCTCAAAAAGGTCGAAAAAGGCAGCAACAGAGTTTTAAAGGATGGTGAACGAGTACCCGAAAGAGTAGTAAAACAGTACCAACACATTGACATGCTGAAGGGGAGTCAAAGAGCAGCAGAAGAGTATTTCCAGCATGCCAAGCAAGCGAACAACTCGGAAATGCCCCGGCAAATCACCCCAGTTCCTGCAAGGCTAACGACGTCGCCAATCCAAAGCGAAACACTCCCTCATCAAAGCCCCCAACTAAAAAGGACTCTTGGACTCTGGCAACTGGCCTTAGGCAACCTGAAGCATGCAGCATGGCTCATTTGAGCTCCGGAAAACTCAGCTGTTCCTGGGTCATGTTCAAATATCACGTGGGACTTGTACGCCACAGGTGCCTAAGCCACGTTTCATCCACAAATGGCGAGTCCCTCACCTTAAGCCTCAACACTAAAGGGTTTCCCTTAAACTTGGCCCGACAAGGTGAGGTTTCAAACCACAAAAAGTAGATATGTCAGACACCTTGGTTGACGTTGGAAGGGGAGCAATGTTTCCCAATTTTAGCAGTTAAGTGCTTGAAATGATTTCAACCACTAAACCACAATAAGCAAAAATATGAAACATGTCTCCCAACGACAACCATGACACGTCCCAAAAAACAAAAGCAGCTTCGTCTCGTGGATGCCGTGGATTGCTCGGATTTCAACTTGCGACTTTGGATGAGAGCCATGCGGATGTGGCGGTGTTCGGAAACCAAGGGAAGCCAACCACTTGGAAAGCAACAAGGAAATTGTTCAATTGCACGGCTGGCCAACTGGGCCATGATTTTGACTGTTTCTGGGGGTTGTCAAAGTCAGAACTGGGGGGTGTATCCCTTTAACCCACCTAGCAAGAATTGATCAGAGCGAAATAATCCCAGGCCAAACAAGAACTGGTCTGGGCGAAGCAGACTTCGCCAACCCAAGGCCCTTTGAAAGAAGAACCTTCTTGGGTCTAAGGAAGCAAACCAAAACACGAGGCTGCAAAAGATTTCCTGGAGTTGACAAAAGGCGGCCAAATTTCACAGCGCTAATATCTCTCAACGGCCAGCATCCGACGAAAGGAGCAAAAAGCACAGGTCCGCTCCGTATCTATACATGTACATATGTGTGTGGGTGTATATACATAGTTATGTGTACACGCATGCGTAGGGAGTATGTATGGTCAAAGAAATCAATGTATTTCTGCCTAAGTATCCCCAAAGCGGAAGCCAAAAGCCCGAAACACCCACATCGCTAAGTAGGACATCGCGCAAAGAAGAGAAAAGCAAAAAGAGAAACAGACATATAACAATGGGAGGCCACAAAAAGCGTACCCAAAGATCGAGTCATTCCAGCGCTGATCCAACAAACAACTGAAGAAACATATCCAAGGCAATCAGCAAGACAAATCAAACGCTGCAAAACAAAGGCCGAGACAAGCTGTCAACCCAAAAACAAGCCGAACAAGAAGGCACAAAAAACAATGGCGGCATCTTGTGCAAACCGAAGAACCTTGACAAACTGTCCCCCCAAAACACACCGCAGAAGAAACAAGCAAGGAGGCAACCCCAAAAAGACGGCGGAAACCCTCAGCCCGACATGGTCCCCTTTCGCATCTGGCCGGAGCGGCCCCGCCGCTTCTGCCCTGGGCGTCGGAAGGGGTCGAGGAAGAAGGAGGCCACCCGCGCGCCGACCGCGTCTTGGACGCGGAAGAAGCGGACGCCTTGGGCCCAGCAGAGCTCGCTGCTCTCCTCGACCACCTGGATGGGCGAGCGGAAAGTTTGTCCCGGAAGCGGCGCTGGAAGGTGGGAACCGAAAAAACATCAGGCGCTTAATTTCGTCGCCTGAGGGCCTTCACGTTTTGGGGGGGGGGAACTTTTCACGGTGATGAAAACTTCTGGGGTCCACAAAGTTTCTAGAGACCCGCATGGCGGAGAATCATCGCTTGCACAGGGCTCCGCCCTGAGCCAGCCCAGGTTGGCCTGAACCCCAAGGACTGAAGGCGTCGAGCTCGGAAACTGTATGGCTCCCTGTCCGCGAGGCGGGTGGTTGAAAACCACTTCCATCGGTGGCCAAACGCCTGTGACCCCAGCCCTTTTTTGTCGGCTCAAGTTGTCAAGCCAAGGATTCACCAAAGACCCATCTGCCGCTGTTGTTCCTCGCCAGGCCGGGTAAAATGATCAGTCACCAACCTGATGTAAGAAATGGACCTCCACGCAAGTAGTCACCAACCTGTTGCAAACCGAAAGTCTTTGTAAGTTCAAACAGGTTCGCTTGAGAGCCCGCCAAAATGCGAGTGTATTGTGGATGACGATTGTCCCTTTTGAAATCTTGTGTTTTCCCTTTGGGTTCCCTTTAGAACTCACCAAGGAGTCAATTGGCCAAAGATAACCACCCCCAAAACCCAACCCGACCTAGACAGCCCAACCTAACCTGATCAAACCAACCCAAAAGCAAAGGGGCCCAACTCAACCCAACCTCAGTTGCTTTCTGCTCCCCTGCCAAAAGTTTAACTTTTAGCAGTTTAATGGGAAAACCCACTAGTAAATGCACCGTTCCCGTGGTCTTGGGCCGGGCGTCTCCTTCTGACCCCTGAAAAACTTGGGTTGCCATGACCCCTTTCTTTTGACAAACCCCCTTTTTTACGGGTCAGAAGAAGAAAAAACGAAAAATGAAAAAGAGAAAGGACTCAAAAAAACGCGGCCCAAGCAGCCCAAAGGGGTTTCAAGGACTCCGCGCCTGGACGCCGAAGAGCCGCGAGACCAGCCCGAAGAGGCCTTCGAGCACCGCGTCCAGCGGGAAGAACTGGCGGAGGTAGTCCTCTCGCAATGTATTTTTTGCATCCGGCGAGGGAGGCTCGGAGGGCCATGCATTTCCCATTTATCCAGGTTTGCCCCAGGACGGAAAACAGGGGGTTCGGGGTTGGTGTGAAAAATTGGGGGGGATCTTCTTGCTGGTGCTCAGCAAAAATGAGGGATGTGACATTAAAACATCCCCCCTTCCACCCCGCCCCTCTCCCCCCCCAAAAAAAAAGGAGAAAGAAAAAAGGGCACAAAAGAACCTGGGTGTCTGAGTTTGTTTTCTCCCAGCAAAACCGTCCTCCTTGAGGCCCAACCGCTCTTCCAGCATCCTCTCCCGCCAGAAGTCCAGGTCGAAGTGCTCCAGGTCCGCGGTCGAGGCGACCCGCTCACCCCCATGCGCCTGAAGGAACGAAAGCACTTGGACCACGGGGCTCCACCTCACCCCAGTTCACAAATCACCTCACTGGCGATGTTCCCTACATACAACTCGCAGAAAGGGGAATGAACTGGGAAGATGGTCCACTATGAACTTGATGCTTTGGACTGGTGGTTTGGTGGATAAGGATGGGGTGTCCCATGAACCACCCACCAATCCAACCAAAAGCCCTGACCCCAAAGCCCCTCAAAACACCTGAAACCCCAACCCAAAGCCCCCCTCAAATCACCCCCAACGCCCCCCTCAAATCACCCGAAACCCCAACCCAAAGCCCCCTCTCAAATCCCAAACAAACAAAAAAACAACACACACACACACACAAAGCACCCCACAGCCCCCCCCCGGCCTCAGCAAAGGCTTTCAGCTCCTGGAGCTCGTAGCGCGCCACCGGCAGCGCCTCCTTCCGCAGCTTCGCCAAGAGCCCGTAGGCCTGGCGGCGAAAACAGGAGTAGGTAGGTAGGTAGGTTGGTTGGGGGGTGGGTGGGTGGGTGGTTGGGCGGGTGGGTGAGCAGGTTGGTTGGTTCAGTGATGAAATCGAGAAGCGACTCGCAAAGGAAAGCGGACCAGAAGGGAAGCACGTGGCAAAGAGGACAAGGGAAAAGGGAAGAAAACTACCCGCGACTCTGCCAACGTAACCTGGGGTAGTTGGTTGATTGGGTGGGTGGGTGCAGAAATGGTTTGTTGGTTGTATTTCGGACGCCTTTAAAGGGGTTTGCGGCTTTGCAACAAGGTGGAACAAAACTGCCACCCACCCCCCTGCAACCAATCCTCTTATGTTTGACACCAAAAGAGAAACCTTACCCCTGGCAATGTTTATGGAACCAAAAAGTGGTGGTTGAAACAGTTTGGTGGTTGGACCCTTCAAAAAGAAACCAGAAGGAGGCTGTTGCCCTAGTCCCAAACAAAGTGGTTGACACAAACGTGGGTGCTCCAAATAAATAATCGGTGGTTGAAAAAATGAGCTTGCCAACAAGGTGGTTGAAACAGCTTGGTGTTTTACAGGGGTCCCTGAATTTCCTCAAATCCAAAGTTGAAGTTTACTGTTATTTCCAAAACAAATGGCACATCTCTCCAGATCCCAAACTGGGACACTGAGGGACCCCCTGGTTTCAGCTTGGCGGTTGGGGATGGATTTCCACATCAAAAGTTGCATTTTAAATTGGAACAAGCTCCAACCAAATTCCCCACTTCTCCAGATCCAAACCTTGGCCGGTGGATCGCGCCTGCTTCGGAGAGGCCATGGTCTTGGTGAAGACCACCTCGCAAAGCCCCGCGCGAGGTGAGAGCGCGAGCGAGCGCTCGCTCTCGGTCGGGGGGGTTCTCCGGGCGCCCAAAACCTTGAAAAAGGAGGTCGATGGCTTGAACTGTGGATGGTTGCGATATCCAGTTCACACCACTTGGAAGCCATGGTTGAAGTGGAGGTGTTGATGCTGAGGTTCGCTCTCCGCATGGTGAGGGAATCAAAAAAGCTTGCGTCGGTAGCCTCAAAAACGGGCCACACCCTGGCTTGATCTGGTATCTTCTTTCTTCGGATGGGAGGGAAGGATTGGAAGCATAGGTAACCTTTTGGAAAAATAGATGGCCCTGGTAAATGGAATAAACCCCATCTAAACCAGTGCCATCTATTTTTAACCAAACGAACCTATAAAGGACACCTATGATTGGAGGGTTTGGTCCCCACTGTGCCAGTAGCCCGAAACCCATCCCCGAGACTTCGTCAGGAGGCCGAAGCCTTCCATTGGTATCACAGTGTCACTATTGGGTGCTTGAAATTGATACCACCCAATTATGTGTCACTATTGGTGGTCCCAATGGTGGTATCCCAATTGGTATCACAGTGTCACCATTGTTAAATCCTTCGTCACTTAAATCCCCATTGTCTGCAATTCTCACCGCCCGCGAGCGATGTCTTTCTTCTGACCCCCCAAGCGATAGCCTTTTTTGGACCCACAAAGGCGCGGAAAGCACACGTTGCACCTTTTTCCGAGCCAGGTTTCGTATGGTAGTTACCTGACCTCCTGTGGAGGGGGTTGACATAATGCCCCGAAAGGCGCCACTGAGGACACTTAAACCTTTTTGGGGGGGGTTCAGAAACCTTTGAACGGCACACCCGCCAAGAACAACCAATTCCTCCCCCATCCCATCGGCCGAACCCGTCACCCGCCTCCGCGTGAGAGGTGTAGCCCACCACGTTGGCCAAGCGCCTCCTCACCTGCAGCAGCTGCTCCAGCATCGGGGTGTTGTCCCCCTTCCCCGCGCCGCCCAGGAACCCGATCCTCCGGTCTCGAGTCGCTCGCTGGCGCCCGGCGCGAGGAGAAGTCGCTGGCTTCGTGCTCTCACTGGAGAAACACCTAGGCCCTCCAGTAGAGAGGTTAGAACAAGGGTACCAACTTGTTTCTTTTCGACTATTTTAGCAGGGGAACCCTCCCCAAAAAAAGGGTGAAAGGGCACTACTGGAGAACCTAGAAAACACAGACACGTCAGCCTTCTCTGTTTCCACCTCGGACATTTCATCAGATTCTTGCGGCCTTTTTGCGGCCCTGTCCGATTGCCGTGTCAAGAAGAACATCATTCACCTTGGTCGTAAAGTTCGCAAACCCTTTAGGACATAAGCACCTCTTCGCCTGGAGGCACCTCCCACCTTCCCCCCCTCCAGCCACAAAAAAAGCTTGAAGACAAAAAGGCAACCAGCTCCACCCCTTCAGAGGAGAGAAGAGAAGAGCGAAAAGAAAAAAGAAGAGAAGAGAAGAGACGAGACGAGCAGAGGAAGAGAAGAGAAGGTTGAGGGAAAATCCCCTCCCCAAAAAACTGCAGAGAAAAAAAAGCGCCACCAGCTCCCCTCTGAACCTCCCACCCTCTCCCCAAAAACAAAAAGAAAACGGGTCAAACCCGTCGCCTCCTTTGGTTCTCGAAGACCACGGCCCGCAGCGCCGCGCTGCCGTGGCGCAGCACGGGCCCCGCCTGGGCCTCGTGCGTGGAGATCAGCCAGGGGCCCTCGGCGCCGGTGGCCCGGTACCCCGCCGCCCGCGCCATGGCCGCGGCGTCCTGGCTCGGAGAGGCGGGGCGGCGCGGCGAGCTTCTTTGGAGCCGGAGCTGGTGGGAGGTTGGAGGGTGGTGAGGTTGCTGGGATTTGGGGGTTGGTGAGTCTTGGAGGATGGTGTTGTTGGGAGGGCGGTGGCGGTGGATTTTGGAGGGTGGTGGCTTTGGGAGGGCGGTGGCGGTGGTTTTTGGAGGGTGGTGGTTTTGGGAGGGCGGTGGCGGTGGTTTTTGGAGGGTGGTAGATAGATAGATTAGAATAGATTAGATTAATAGATTATAGATTAGATTGACAGATTAGATTAGATTAATAGATTAGATTAGAATAATAGATAGATATTTAGATAGATAGATAGATAGATAGATAGATAGATAGATAGATAGATAGATAGACAGATTAGATAGATTAGATAGAATAGATAGATTAGATAGATTAGATAGATTAGATAGATTAGATAGATTAGATAGATTAGATAGACTCGGTAGAGTAGATAGATTGGATAGATTGGATAGATTAGATAGATTAGATAGATTAGATAGACTAGGTAGAGTAGATAGAGTAGATGGATTGGATAGATTAGATAGGTTAGATAGATTAGATGGATAGATTAGGTAGTTAGGTAGGTAGGTAGGTAGATAGATAGATGGATAGATACATAGATAGATAGCTACATAGATACATAGATACATAGATACACAGATACATAGATGGAGAGATGGATAAATGGATAAATTGATAGATGGATGGATCGATGGATCGATGGATAGATGGATAGATGGATAGATAAATAGATAGATAGATAGAGAGATAGAGAGATAGAGAGATAGATAGATAGATAGATAGATAGATAGATAGATAGATAGATAGATAGATAGATGGATAGATAGATAGATAGATAGATGGATAGATAGATAGATAGATAGATGGATAGATGGATAGATGGATAGATGGATGGATAGATGGATAGATGGATAGATGGATAGATGGATAGATGGATAGATGGATAGATGGATAGATGGATAGATGGATAAGATAAGATTAGATTATATTATATTTAGATAGATAGATAGATAGATATATAAGGCTTTCGGAGCGTGGTGGTTTTGAGAGGTTTGTGGTTTTTTGGTTGGTGTGTTCAAGCCCGTGTTTTGGAGCCGGAGCATGTGTTTTGGAGGTTGGGGTTTTGGAGGTTGGATTGGTTTCCCGGTACCCTAGGTGTTCGAATCCCCAATCCAAACCACCAATCATAAGGGGAAAACCGGGAAACACCCCCCCCCCCCGCTTCCGGATCGAATATGGAAAGAAGGTTGGCATGCCCCTTGGACTTGTTTTCTTTTGGGGGGGGCTGGAAGTTTCTGCTGGCCGCACCAAACGGCCCGGAAAATGTCGGTCCTCCAGCACCCACTGGGGCAAACCTTCCAACTCCTCGCGGCTTCGGATCAGATAGGCACGGCTCTCCATGTCCCGGTCCACGTTCCTCGGGATACTGCGTGCGAGTCGAATCGATGGCCCCCCAATCCAAACTACCCGCTTGTGGCAGGATGTGTGAAGAACCAGGTTTTCTACGGCAAATACTCCCCCTTTTTTTCGATCAGGGTTTTTTTCGTCATATCTGAAAAGAAAGTGGTGTGCGGCACATGCAAACTAAGGGGCGCAACTCATTTCACCTACAGAATTTGTCCACAAACAAAAACCCAACATGTCCGCCAGCTGATATCCCAAAGAAACGCATCCTCTACTCTGGGAGGGGTTGCATCCCTGCAACGACAAGACCTCAGGTGCGGCCACGACGAAGGTTGCATGATAAATCCCAAGAGGACCTACTATAATATTGCATGTGAACCTGTGATGAATCCGGAGAGGCGCATGTCCTTTTGGACTAAACACATGGGTCTCCCTGGTTTCTGGATGGCAAATTATTCCCCATCTAAACCCGCGCCCTATACCCTTAAAATACCGTCTAGCTGATAGGTCAGAGCCGGATGAAGAAAATCCGCTATTTTTAACCCAACCTGAAAAGGACACCTCCACATCTAACCAGCGGCCTGCCCATCGATTTCTATCCAAACAGATTCACCCATCAAAAGCGGCCACCTCTGAATCTGACCAGCTGCCCATCTATTTCTATCCAAACCCAACCTAAAACAGCCACCTCTGGATCTGATTGACCCATCAGAAGGCCACTGCTGCTCGGGGCGCTGGTCCCAGATCAGGGAAATGTTGAAGACGGCCCCCCGCACCTTCTGCAGCTCCAGGAACGCGTCCGGGTCGTCCCGGTAGATGCCGTTGTGCTGCAGGTTCACCCCGTCCTGATCTGTGCGACGGACGCTACCGGAAGGAGCGGCAGGGGCCACGGGTTGGCGGGGCAAAGGATGGAAACGAAGGGAAAATTGCGGAGGAGCACCCAAGAAACCATGGTTGAAACCAGAACGTTTTTGATATTTGCAGGGGGAATCGAATCATTCCATGAAGGGAAACTACGCACGGTGGCGACATCCGCTTCTGATTGAGGCCATGCATATGAGTCATATGAGTGTGTGTGTGTGTGTGTGTGTTTACCTTGGGGAATCGAATGATTTTTAATGATTTCTTAGGTGGTGCGAGCCACTTTGGGGATTGGATCTCCAGGGCTTCGCCAAGAGGAAGCCGTGTTTTTTTTTTTCCGGTTTCCCTACGAACTGACAATGGCAGATAGGGCCAGCAGGATTTGAACCTGCAACCTCCAGAGTATCCGAGGACACGGGCGCGCTGCCATTGCGCCATGACCCCCTTAAACTTTTTCTTTTGGTTTTGAACAAGCTGCCTGTGCATAGGAATGGCCCCCAGAACTCTGCTTTTGGGGCCACGCCTTTAAGATGCCACTATGGGGAAACGCGCCACATGTCTGACGTCATTCGTTTTTCGCCAAAGCTCAATGTCCATTTTTGGAACCTCCAGACATGACGATTGCTTCAATAAAAAGCCACCATTAAATTGAACAACTCTTGATCGGGCGAACTTCAGTGACCCATGTAGGCTCTCTGAGAAACACTTCTATTTGATGCTTCGCCCCCTGCAAAAAAATGAAATATGTCCCGCACAAAATGAAACATACTCCCTATAAAACCAAAAGGAGGAATTGAACACATCTTCATTTCAGCAAATGGGTCCCCTTGATACCCTTTTTGTTTGTGTCTTCTTCACCAAGGCTTACCCCCCAAAAAAAAAATATAAATAAAAGGCGTGGCCACCTACGAGACCCCGAAAGACCCCGGACTTCCAAGCGCTTCCGGTCGCGCGACCGGTCGACCGGTCGCTCGCCAACAAGGCGAACGGCCTGCTCGAAGAGGATCATGAGCAGCGCCGCGGCGCGGCGCTGGCCCTCCGTGGCGTTCTCGTCCGCGCCCAGAAGCCCCAGGAATGCCCGGCTGAAGCCTCGACTCAACGAGTGCCGAAAAAGATCGGGGAGCGCGTGGAGGCCTCATGTGTGGTCACCCAAAATGAAGATTTGGGCTGGCCTTGCGGTGTCTATGACACCAAAAAAAAAACAGGTACCAGCTCCAAAGAGGGTACGAGCCACCCAGCGAGGGGCCTAAACGTGAATGGATTCTGCCGTCCACCTCTCTGTCAAGGAACCCCAAACAAAAGGGATCCGTCACTCTTGGGGTCCCAGTTCAAAAGGGGATCTGGGCTGTTCGGGGAGCCAAAACGCCCCTCTTTTGTATGATGTCGACCCCTGACTAAAGGAGGCCCCTCCTGTTTGGGTTGCAAACCGCAGCGAATCTGTACCAGAGAACGTGGGGAAACATGAGATGCAAAAAACGGGAAAAGGAAAGGAAAAAAGGAAAATGATGAAGGAGGGAGAGTTGGATAGGAGGAGGAGGAGAAAAGGAGAGACAAGAACAGGAGAAAGAGGAACAGAACAAGCGGAAAAGGATGACAAACAAGTTGGAAAAACATGAAAAAATAATAAAACCACTGAAAAATGCGGAACAGGTTGCAACATGAAAAAGGGACAAACAAATCTGAAAAGGCTGTCAACATATCAAACAAACAAAACATGTGACTCGCCTGAACGAAATAACCTAGTGGCCAAGCATTCCTGTTGTATGCAAGAAGAAAAGAAAGAGAGAAAGAAAGAGAGAGAAAGAAAGAAAGAAAGAAAGAAAGAAAGAAAGAAAGAAAGAAAGAAAGAAAAGAAAGAAAGAAAGAAAGAAAGAAAGACAGACAGAAAGATTCGATCCGATTAGATTGGATCCGATTCTATTAGATTCGACTAGCTTAGATTAGATTAGATGAATGGATAGACAGACAGACAGATAGATAGAGATGGATATAGAATAGATCAATGATTGACTGATTGCTTGGTTTATTGATTGCGGGCTTGCTTGCTTGATTGATTGATTGGTTGATTGATTGATTGAATTGAATTGAATTGATTTGGCTTGAGTTGATTGAGTTGATTTGATTTGATTGAATTGAATTGATTTGATTGATCTGATTCATTTGATTGATTTGATTGATTAGGTTAAGTTGATTTGATTTGATTGAACTGAATTGAATTGATTTGATTGATTTGATTCATTTGATTGATTTGATTAATTGGATTGACTTGATTGATTGGATTGACTTGATTGATTTGATTGATTTGATTGAGTTGGTTGATGTGCTTGAATTGAATGATTATTGAATTTATTCATTTGATTGATTTGCTTGAATTGATTGATTTGATCGATCTTATTAATTGGATTGGCTTGATTGATTCGATTGATTTGCTTGAGTTGATTGATTTGATTGACCTGATTAATTGGATTGATTTGATTGATTCGTTTGATTTGCTTGAGTTGATTCATTTGATTCATTTGATTAATTGGATTGATTTGATTGATTGGATTGATTTGCTTGAGTTGATTGATGTGATTGATCTGATTAATTGGATTGATTTGATTGTTTTTTATTGATTGGATTGATTGGATTGATGGGATTGATTTGATTGATTTTATTGATTGGATTGATGGGATTGATGGGATTGAATGGATGGATGGATGGATGGATGGATGGATGGATGGATGGATGGATGGATGGATGGATTGATTGATTGATTGATTGACAGATGGCTGTGGGTCAAAACCAATGGTACCATTTTGGGGTAGGTGCACCACCCATTTTAGTCTTGTTTACTGGGGGTACGGGCGGTTGACCCATGGCCAGATGGATGTGTGTGTGTGTGTGTGTGCGTGCGTTGGCTCATGGTCAACAACAGAATCCCATCCAAGAAAAAGGACTGATTTCGAAGGGCGAACAAATGGCGTGGTGCTTGAAGCATCCCGCAGAAATGAAGCGGTCGATGCAAGGGAGACCCTTCCCAAAACAAACAAGACTAACAAAAACACGCCACGACCACACACCATACCGCCGAGACAAAAACAAAAACAAACTCATCTTCATAAACAAGGTTGCGACCCTTCTTCTCATGACCCCATTGATTGCCTTCGGGCAAGAGAACCACACCCAACCCCCAAAATCCTTGGGGGTGTCGATTGCTTTCTGTTGCTGGAAGCTTAACTTTTCGTGGCTTAATGGAAAACCCAATAGTTGGCAAAAAGAATAACGTCCTAACATCCCCTGGCAAAAATGCGCCAAAGTTTGTACAACGCCCCGGCCACCCCCGACTCGACGCCGACCCGCCGACTTCCGCGCGCCGGAGTCCGAGCCGCGGTCGCAGCGCCTGAGCCGGCGCTCGATCGCCCACCTGGCCTGGGCCGCGAAGCGGTGGGCCCGGCGGAACTTCACCGAGGGGTCCAGCACGTCCTCGCCGAAGCAGAACACGCCGGCGAAGGGCCGCAAGGGGCCGCAGGGGGCCGGAGGCGTTGGTTTGTACTTTTTTTGGTGGGAACTCCAGTTTGGGGTCCCAAATGAAAACAAACACCCAAGTGGCCTGGATGAATCCGCAGGCTGGAGGGGTTCTTTTTCTGAAAGCTGTCACATGCGTTGGGTTTTGTGAATGCAAATCCTGCTTTTCCATGGGTTCCCCGCTTGGGCCCCAAGTGATGAATCAACCTGGTGGATTTTGTTGGGGGGATGTTATCCCCAAAAGTGAAGGATTCTCTAGTGAACGCAAACCCTTTGGGCGACCCGTCGTGTTTCCAGCAAGCTGGAACCCATTGACAACCCCAAAAACCAGCGCGGAGGGTGGGTTTGGTTCGAAACAGGAAACCCCAAGGTTGATCAAGGAAAGCCAGGGTTGACTCCCAAACGCGTGTTCTCAAGAACGGAGTGGAGTGGAACTAGCTCAGTTTGAGAAACCATCCAAGGCGCGGCAGTTGGATTCTTATTTCTTTTCGCTCTGGCTTCACCAAGCTCCTTCCCTCCAACCAACCCGGGCCAAAATGATCTCGACCTATGCCTTTGAGGCCATTCCTGGCGGCTGGTTTTGAAGGCACACTGAAGACCTTTATAGGAAGTCCAAATGCCACGGACAAGATGGTGCTCGTTGTTCAAGAATGTGAAAACCGGGCCGCGCCCTTGGTTGAACTTCCAAATCATGTCAGCTCCTCAAATGGATGCGTGTGTGTGTGTCAAAATTTGACCTCAGCCACGCTCAGACATGTCTCCTCTTCCCATCCCAATTCCTGAGTTGATCCGCCCAAAACAGGCGAAAGCTTTTGCCACTAACATGGTCTAAACCCACCGAGGGGCTAAAGTCCAGCCCGGGGAGCGAATGCCCGCCCATTTGCTGACATCCATTTCTGGGAGTTCAAAAACTACCCCCTAAAAATCCGCACACCGAGCCAAGCCCCACCCTTGAATACTACCAAACAACCACCCAAAAACCACCACCCGACCCCACCCACCCCCACCCACCGACCCACCCACCCACCAACCACCACCCCAGGCTCCTTGACGTGCCTCACCGCGGCGTAGGCCATGTCCGCCTTGTCCACGATCCGCTCCAAAGGGTCCAAGACCGAGCGCCAGTCGTTCGCCACGTAGGGCACCACGCAGTGCTGCGCCCAGATCTCCTCGATGGAGAACCTCGCAAAAAAACAAAAAGAAGAAGAAGAAGAAGAAGAAGAAGAAGAAAAAGCGCCGGAGAAAACAAACAGGTCGGATCTTTGTGTTTTTCACGGACCCGCCCGAAAAGCTTACTTGTCGAAGAACACAAAAAGGTACCCGCACGTGTATTCGACGAGGCCAAGATGGGTTGACACCACTGAGCCTGGGTGCCATTGGTTGCATTGCGCGTTCTTGCTTTTGGGTCTTAGCATCAGACCCAACTGATTTTCCATGTGGGCTTCCCAGCGGAAACCCACCGAAAGGGTCCTCTACACCAAAAAAAGGAAGAGCTGCCTGTGTCCAGTGGCCAAACTTGAAGCAACCCCTTAGCATGCACGTGTCAAATGACAGGTCCCAACCCCAATCTTGTTTCGTTGCGTCGCGCAAAATGACGGTACTTGTGCATGTTTCCCCATGTTCCCCTTCTTCAGTGGTTTTGACCACACGATGAGTCAGCCAAGTTTGTCTTGAAATTCGGGAACTCCGGATGTTTTCCCCTTTCCGTTTCCGCTTTGAAGAATCCCTTTTGACGGGTTTTCCCAGATGCGCCATTCTCGGGTCGGCCGAAATCAACCCAAGACACTTCTCCATCCACTTGTGGCCCCGCTCGGCGTGTTCCGCGCGCACGTCTTTCCAGGGTGGGAACTCCTCTCGCCATGAAAAGCGACCGAAATCGAAGAAACTCCCGTGTAAATGATGAGTTTCCTGTTGTTGCGTCCCTTCAAATCCACTCCAGAAGGGGGTACCCTCAAGAAAGATACACCCACAAGGCTGGAACATATGATATGGCTCTTGTCGGACATGCCATGGGCTAAATCCAGTTCGCACCAGTTGGTAGGTAGCTTGTCCCAGTATTCATAGGGCTTCATCCATTCCAACATCCGCGCTTAGCAAAAACAACTCTGCTCAAGTGAGCCAACAACATGGCTACTTAGAGCGTCGGGAAGCAGTTGTACGACAGTAGGGAAAACTACTCAAAGAAGCCGTTCAACAGGTTCTATTAACCCATCTGTTAGAGTACATTTAGGGTCACCAAGTCTACCTGCGAATGTGCACCCTTCAAACATGATACTCCATGTGAATACCATCTGAAAAACTTCGTTTTGGCAAACCCCTGCAAATACACTTGAAGCAATTCAAAATGCAGAATCTACATGCTTCTCGGAGGTTCCTTTCAGCATAGGTCCCCTCTGGGCTGCGGGAAGGTCTAGTACTTTGAAAATGAAAATCCAGCCTCATGCTTTCCCCCAAACAGTCGGCTGTGACCACCCGAGATCCCATTCCCGTATCTCAGGTTCTCTCTCAGCTGCTAGCAGTGGATGCTGGATTTTGAGACAAAAGAAAACCGTGATGGTTTTAGCTTAAAAACAGTGACGTGACAGGTCGGCTCCCCGAATTGTGGCCCCAATGCTGCGAACTGCTGAAAACCCATAACACTCTACCAAGATCACTATAAAAGCTTCTGAAGCCCTCACAATCCCGAAACAAACGAGTAGAACCCTTACTCAAGTAATCTGCTCATTGTTGCTGAACGCCCTTTGACTTTTGATGCACCAAATGGTCAAAACTATCTAGCCCCTCGCAAGAGTTCTGAGTCAGCCAAGGAGGGAGTTGGGAACCCCTCAAATATCATATCAGCAAAGCTGGTGGAACAATAACAGGCAAACCGCCCCGAAAACACGGAGGAAATCTATCTTTGCGCTTTCCCCCAAAATGGCACGTTCAAGCCAAACTCTGGCACTTATAGTCCGGCCTGAGAAAGCGCCCGAGTCCCGAGCAAGATTGGCCAACTGAGTATATTTGGGGCATGTGAGATGATGTGGCCATGGTTCAAAATCCCGTACCCCCAGAGAACATCCCAATCCCCACTAAAATAGACTAAAATGGGTGGTGTGCCCACCCCAAATGGTACCATTGGTTTTGACCCACAGCCATGTCCCAGACACATAAGGCCCCCACCTTGGCCCCGTTCAGCAGGAGGTTGGTGCCATGCTTCAGGTTGGCGATGAAGTCGGAGTCAGAGTCCTCCTCATCGGACCAGTCCGCGCTCTCCTGTGGACTTTGACGCAGGGGCCCTAAGCTTAGCCCCTTGCGCCTTGCTGTGCCGGGCTTGGTCAAGTTTGGTTGTGCTTGGCCCTGTTGGCCCTCAGTGGGCAAGACTTATTATTTGGCCAGGGGCCATGCGCTGGTTCGGCCTCTGAGTTTCCATACCCCAACCGCTGGTTCGGCCTAGCTCAAACAGCTCTTCTTGCAGCGCCACTGAGCATACCATACCCCCCGTCTTGGTCTTGCTGCGTATGCGGCACGCGACGCGCAAACCTTCTCCCATGTTTGGCGGGGCAAGCCATATCCCATGCCCATCTGTTTATATGCGCTTCAAGTAATGTCGACCCGTGATTAATAAACCCCACAGTCATGAATCAGGGGGGTTCCCCTAAAAGGCAGAAATCTCCACTAAAAGGGACCCCCTGATGAATTTCTGTTGGCGTTATTAAGCAGGGGTTGACATTGCGTTAGGTTCTTACCTGCGTGATTTGGCAGTAGGCTGCTTTTGTGCATGAACATTCTGAAAATCCTAGTTGCCCAGTGACCCTGGCAGAACCCTGGCAGCGGGGTCAGGACCATGTTTGGTTTCGAAACCCGGCAACATAACGATGATTTAGCTCACTGGACAAAGGCCTAAAACAAGAGGTGAACAATCGGCGGCGAGGACTCCCTTGGGACAGTCCAAGTTGCCTGCCGAATCCTCCCACAATTCTAACCAATTCTAGTCGAAACTCCATATGTGGGTCATAGTCAAGGCTCCCGCGATAGGAGCCGTCTAAGGCCACTATACAGATTGATGACCATCCCAAATTTACTACGAGGGTACCTCATCCAAGCAACAGGGCACCCCATCCAAAACCAAACCAAGCTGCTGTTGAGACGCGCGCCGTCCTATGCCAGTCTGGGATCACCCAAAAGTCCGTGCTGGCCCCCAGTCCCTCTCTCCCATCCACGTGGCCTGTGCTCGGGCCTCGTCCCTCGTCCACGCTGACGCCCAGCCCAGTTGGTTGAGGGTGCTTACTGGATTGGGTATGCTGTGTATATGCGTATATATGCTATATTTTAGGGGTTGGCCGATCTTCTTGGTTCCAAAAACGGTCACCCCTCCACAGGTCTTCTGCGAACTTCCGCGTGCCCTCGCCTAAACACGCAAGTGTTTACAGGAGGAAGAAGTGAGGCAATCCAAGAGGACAGCCTCAGGAGGCGAGACATAGAGCAGGAATCAGGAAGGATCGCAACTTCTCAGGGAGCGTGCAGTACAAGTAAGGCTTCATCCCATGGTAGGGCACACACTTCCGCGACACTTGCACTTGCCCTTCCGCGATCGCGCCCGCAACCACAGCACCATAGGGGAAACTGGGCCCACACAGGTCTGTTCAGTCCGACCTTCCCTTGTGGTTCATGGGCCCCGAGTACGAACTGAAGAATAAGGTTCCCAACCCCACTAAAGCAAGTTGCCTCCTCTACCTTGGTTTGAAGCTCAATCCACTTGACACACACACACACACCAAAAAAACTAACCAACACTTGGCCACAAAACAGCTTAGACTTGGTGGAGGATGTTGGGCACTACCTTGAACAACACTGAAGACTCACCTGCATACCTTGAACAAAACAGAGCATGTTGTGGAGGATGTTGGACACGACCTTGGACAAGACTGAGGACTCACCTGAACACCTAGGACAAAACAGGGTGAGGGATAAAAAAAACTTTTCATGCATCAAAAAAACATATTTCTAAAGATCCAAAAAAACTTTTAGGGATCAAAAAAACTTATTCTCATTGACTTACTATTAAAAATGGAAAATCAGAGGATCAATAAAAAACTTTATTGGGATCAAAAAAACTTATTCATTTCGTGGCAGGCGAAGCACTTTCGCAAGGTCAGGTACAGATTTCGTGGCACGTGCGGCACTTTCGCAAGGTAGGCGCAATGCTTTCGCAGGTCAGGTGCAGATTTCGCGGCAGGCGCAGCGCTTTCGCAAGGTGCGGTAAAGATTTCGCGGCAGGCGCAGCACTTTCGCAAGGTGCGGTCCAGATTTCGTGATACTTTCGAAAGGCAGGTACAGATTTCGCAGCAGGCGCAGCACTTTAGCAAGGTCAGGGACAGATTCGCGGCAGGTGCAATACTTTCGCAAGGTGCGGTCCAGATTTCGCGGCAGGCGCAGCACTTTCGCAAGGGGTGCCAATTTCGCGGCAGGCGCAGCACTTTCGCAAGGTACTTGACGCAGGCGCAGCATTAAATCAGCGGGGGGGTTGGGGGGGGCGGGGCCCTTGCATGATGTTCTAAGCTCTGTAAGCATTCTACAAATCAGCAGGGGGGTTGGGGGGGGGTGGCAGCCCCCCCATGATGTTCGAAGAAGTGATGATTCAACAAAGGGTGGTGATGATCGAAGAAGTGATGATTCAGCAAAGGGTGCGTTAATCACTGTCAATTTTCTACAAATCAGCGGGGTGAGGAAGGTCAGGTACAGATTTCGCAGCAGGCGAAGCACTTTAGCAAGGTCAGGTACGGATTCGCGGCAGGTGCAATACTTTCGCAAGGTGCGGTCCAGATTTCGCGGCAGGCTTTCGCAAGAGGTACGAATTTCGCGGCAGGCGCAGCAGTTTCGCAAGGTACGGTGCAGAGTTTGACGCAGGCGCAGCAATCAATCAGCGGGGGGGTTGGGGGGGGCGCCCGCCCCATGATGTTCGAGGAAGTGATGATTCAACAAGGGGTGCGCTAAGCTCTGTAAGCATTCTACAAATCAGCAGGGGGGTTTGGGGGGCGGCAGCCCCCCCCATGATGTTCGAAGAAGTGATGATTCAACAAAGGGTGGTGATGATCGCAGAAGTGATGATTCGGCAAAGGGTGTTAATCACTGTCAACCTTCTACACATCAGCGGGGTGAGGAAGGTCAGGTACAGATTTCGCAGCAGGCGAAGCACTTTAGCAAGGTCAGGTACAGATTCGCGGCAGGTGCAATACTTTCGCAAGGTGCGGTCCAGATTTCGCGGCAGGCGCAGCACTTTCGCAAGAGGTGCCAATTTCGCGGCAGGCGCGGCACTTTCGCAAGGTACGGTGCAGAGTTTGAGGCAGGCGCAGCATTAAATTAGCGGGGGGGTTGGGGGGGGGGGGGCGGCAGCCCCACCCCCATGATGTTCGAGGAAGTGAAGATTCAACAAGGGGTGCGGGTGCGCTAAGCTCTGTAGGCATTCTACAAATCAGCAGGGGGGTTGGGGGGGGGCGGCAGCCCCCCCCATGATGCTCGAAGAAGTGATGATTCAGCAAAGGGTGCGTTAATCACTGTCAACCTTCTACAAATCAGCGGGGTGGTTGGGGGGGGGTTCCTTCCTTCCTTCCTTCCTTCCTTCCCTTCCCTTCCTTTCCTTTCCTTTCCTTTCCTTTCCTTTCATTTCCTTCCTTCCTTCCTTCCCCTCATAGGAATGAGCATAAGTTTTTGTTTGATGCCTAATAAGTTGTTTGATGCCTAATAAGTTTGTTTGATGCCTAATAAGTTCTTGTTGATGCCTATCCCGACAAAACACAGCATACTCGGTTGGACGGGACTTCCACTGTGTCCATACTTGGGGGTTCTTCCTTCGCATAGGCAGCGCTCACCTCAAAGCTACTTCTCGCCATGTCTGAATATGTGCGCGTGTGTTGTAAGGGGAGCAACAGCTTTTTGGTTGGCTTAGGAACGCCACAAGACAGCCAACACCGTTCTTTTCCGTTGGGTACCCACACTCCAAATGTCAAACTGACTTCGCCCAAGCGGCCCCATTTCGCAGGATTTGCACGCCAAGGGTTTAGGCTAGCGCTCAAGGCCTCCGGGCCGCACATGGGTTCTGCGGAGACAACAGCTCGACTCGCAGAGTCTCTTGGAAATCCTCATTGGGCCGATCTCCGGACCGTCTCCGCTCCTTCCTCCAGGTGCGGCTGGCTTCCCGGCGCCGCCTCTCGCGCATCTGCCGGTATGTCATCATCTCCTCTCAGCGTTCGGCGTAGGTGTGGAGCCCAAAAGAGGGGCGGGTGGTCCAGGACCGCCTCTTCCGGCCGATATCTTTGACCTTCCTCTCTTGAACATGATGCTACATTTTCCGCAGGGTCGCACATGGCCATGGGTCAAAATCCCGTACCCCTAGTTAAAATCCCAATCCCCACTAAAATAGACTAAAATGGGTGGTGCACTTACCCCAAAATGGGCCACATGTTTCCAAGAGGGTAGTCTAGAAAGCACACCCGGCTCAAAGGAGGCTCGAAAATGATGGCGTTTGGAGGGGTCGCTGCAAAAAATGCCGGGGAGTATCATGGAACAGGCTGGGGTTGTCCTCAGAAAGCGAGTTCTACCAGCCCAAAGGACACCGTCCGTGTCCAACAAGCAATCCCTGATTTTGGGGCACGATCTTGAGTTTGAAAGGGACCCTCATATGGGTCGACCAAAATCGGATATGGACCTCATTTGGATGGTGTCCCCTTGGCTTCTAGCCAGTAAATCACAGGTTTAGGCAAAGTATTTTGGGGTCCTTTAGTGGACATCATAAACACATAGGGAAGTATGTCCACAAACCGCCTTCAAAGTTCCCCATAGTTCGCAGCATACTCCTTCAGGAAAGAATAGCAAGATATAGAAAGCCTCACATTTAGAATCGCCGAGTACCGAAGAATGATCATGGGGCTTGGAATCGCTTGGTTTGCCCGTCGCTGAGCTCGAAAAAAACCAATTTCGTTCTTTGGGGACGCCCATTTGGAGACAACGCCACAGTGACGAGCTCAAGATGACTTCACGGGAACCAGTGGAAAAACCAAGCCTTAGTGGGACGCTCCCGATTTTGGCCCATGTAGGAGAAGGGTGTCCAACTTGTTCTTCTACATGCTTTGTATCAAGGGCATCCACTATAGGAATCTCAGCCTTTGCCACCCTCCCCGAAGCTGACGCATTACACATCATACGGTTTGAGGTGTAAGTAAAAAAGGCATGACCTTTCGATTTGATCCGAATTAGGAGTGTCAAATTCAGTTGGTTTCTCCTATCGCTTCATTTCTGGGGCCTCTCAAATGACATCTCTTTGTTTTGTAATTCAAGCTTCACGAAATTTAGTTGCCAGTTTCTCAACATGTTTTGTTGGGGGCCAAACCGGCCAGCTTGCTAAACACCCCCGAGCCCATCGGACCATCGGCCCGTTTCGGCCCCTCCTCCAGCCCTTTGCTCTCCAAGAGGTCCGCGGCTGCTCGCCGCGCCGAAACCGGGGCCCGGGAGTGGCGGAAGCCTGAAGCGGCTTAGAGGGGCTCCAGGTGGCGCTTTGCTGACGTAAGGAGCAACCGCTCCTTCACCCACCAACCCAAACCACGAAGAGGGAAGCTGAGTGATGTTGACCCCATATGAATTTCAACCAACCTGCTATTCATAGGGTGCTTCTTTTTTCTGGCTGAAATGTGGGGAATCCAACCACTCTTGAAGCGGAACACAGCCAATGAAAATAAACTGGTTGGTTGGTTCATATGGGGTCAACATTCATGTTGACCTTGGAATCCGGACGCCTGGTGGGGGGAAGCTTGAAGCATCCAGGGATTGCTAAGTAGTTCATGGGATTCGTTGTGGCACAATGTGGGATCTCGGATTCATCCGGAGCACCGGATCCTCAAAAATGAATGGGAAGTTAGCGTATTCGAAATGAAACACCACCGAACCGCCAAAAGGATTTTTTCCGAGCTGAGAGATGGTTGAAACGCTTCCGATGAGGTCTTTGCAGCGAGGAAATCCACTCGATCGGGGTTGGGCCAACCCCTTTGAACATGTGTCGACCATAGTTCAAAAACGGGTATGGATGAGAGCCGCCAACAGGGTATGGATGTGTCCAACCACGAAACCCTGGAACATCACATTAAATTGCCAGGGTTTCCAACTTGTTCCCCTCACTTGCAATTTGCGGCATCCACATTCTACGGGGTTGGGGCAGGAAAAAAAAAGAAGAAAAAAAACATGGTCCCCCAAAAGACGGAGGTTCATACCGGGGAATTGGCCCATTTGCGCGCCTGGCACAAGCGCCAGCCCCGCACCCGCCAGCGCCACCGCCAGCGCCGCCCGCGCCAGCGCCCCGCGCGGCGGGTGTCCGGCGCTGCGCCGCCTGTGGAGAGGGCAAGACGGGGGAACTCTGCAAAGCGGAAGGCGCCCAAAAGGGAAAACACGGCGGGAATCAATGCCGAAGCCTTCGGCCGAAGCGGGGCTTCAAAGCTGGCAAAAGCAGGCAAAGGAAAAGAAGCGAGCACGAACGAAGAAAGAGCAACAGCAAAAAGAACCAGAGGACAAGCAAAAAGCAAGCCAGAAACAAACAAAAAGAAGAACACAAAAAACACACAACACAAAAACAAAACAAAAAACAGAGACGTCACTAATTGAAGTGAAAGAGTTGGAACCGTTTTGCGCAAATCGGACCTGTTTTGCAAAACCTTCATCTTCGGACCACACACACACACTACATTGCTTCTCCCATTAGCTCGGGCCCCGCTACGTGCCAGTATTTTCCAACAGCTGGGCTGTTGCCAACATCGCTTCGGCCATTCCGCTTTGCAAACCTCGAAAGTGCGATCAACTTGTCTGCTTTCTTTGACGAAGGACAGCCCTGAGGTGTGCAGTTCGGTACGGCGCCATGCAAGTACCGTGTCGCAGTTTGAATAAGCCCTCTAACCTGAAATGGGCCCGCATCCCCCTAAAGCAAATTGTTGCAAACCCCCAAAACAAAGGAAACCACCAAATACTAAAGGGGCCTGACTGACACCATCCACTTCGCACCAGAGGTGGTTATCCCGATGTTTGCCCCCAAGAAGCAGGTTAAGGAACCAGCCAAACAGGACAAGCTGATCCGAGTTGCAAGCCGGCGTGAAGCTTACATCCCAACTGGAGGATATTGCTCTGGTTCCTCCTTTGCGACAAGTCCAGCCTCATATTTCATGGAAAAAGCCACCGACCAATCCCAAAATATATGTTGTGGGCCATATTTGTTTGGTGGCTGTATATCCCATTGGACTTTCGGGGTGCAGTGGACACCAGAGCTCCACCTTCTTCGCGGCTCGGTGTCCAGCCGAACGTCCATCGGAAGGCTCGCCATGCTGCTTGAATCGACTGGTACCTTTTGCTTCAGCTGCCGTCGTTTTGTTGCTTTTTGTTGCTTTCCGTTTCTCGCCTTTTGCTTGGCTTTCTTGTTCGCTCTTATTCCGTGCTTGCTTTGGCTTGGTCTCGGTTGCAGGCTTCTCGGCGCTCTTGCAAAAAGAATGGGTTCCTGTGTGAGGGGGGGGGATCATACTGCTGAAACTGCTCAATGCCTGAGTGCCTCCGTTCCACTCCTTTGTTCTCCTCCCTTGTGTCACGGTTGCTCAAACACCACGGAAGGGTAGAACTGTGTTCCTGTCCCAAGGAAAACAAGAGGAAGCCAAAACCATGTTCGATATTCTACCCTTAGTGGTTGGTCTTGTCTCCATGTCACTTGCTCGCCGAGTTCAAACGCGGCTGCTGAACTTTGTGAGACGCAAATTTCAGGCAGACATCGCTGGGAGGGTTTAGGCTTTGATCAGCACGAAGGTATTGATTTTGTCTCAAAATGGGCTCCGCCATGGAGCGGTGTGGAAACCAAAAGGACGCCACCTATTTTTCGAGGGATCCCAGTTTGAAACAAGTTTATGGGGTGTCTGTGTCTTTTTTCGGGGACTCCCCAAACCTTGGCTTTCCTTTGGTTTCCCACTAAACCCCCTGTTAAATGGGCCTCGAAAAAGACAAACCCCTGCCGGAGCCAGGTGGATTTTGGGGGGATCCAAATCAAGCTCTGCTTCCTTTGTTTTTCCTGGAAACTGGGACACAGGAAAGCAGCTCGGGCACACCTCCTTTTTCCCCGGATCGGCCCCTCTCGTGTGCGGTCCCGGGCCGAAACGTCCCTAGCTACTTGCGCCGGATTCCACGATTCGAATCGCAACGCCTTTCAAACCGAGGGCCTCGTGGCTCACCATGGTCAAAACTCCAGAGCCGGTGGGGTTTTTCAAACGCAACCGACAACGTGGGCGGTGTTCCTCGCTGTTTCCTTTTAGACCAACCCTCCTAAAAAGAACATACCCACAAATTGTTGTCTCAACTCTCCAAGATCCGTGACCATCCCTACCGGCACCCAAAAAAACGGCTGCTCTCACCACGTGAGAACCCTTGAGTCTTTTGACCATGGCGTCCTGTGCGGTGTCAAAACCGGTTGGGAACAGCCCCGTCATGGCCACTGTTTTTACTGAGCACTTCGGAACCCCAAGAAAAACCGCTTGGAAACTAAGCCCAGATTTTACACATGGGTACAGTACCCCTGGTGAACATCAAAATAGGTGCAAGAGCACCAGAAGGAGGGACCCATCCCATTACCCGGTCTTGACACAGACCCGTGCGGAGTCTAGAGCCCCTCATCTCCCAGGCCTTGCGCACGGCAGAAATGAGCCGCGTCCGGAAGGATGGGCGAGTTTTTGGGCGTTCCCTGAAGGTCTGGCCCAGGGGTTTAGGCTTCAGTTGACCCCGCATCCAGTGGGGTAAGTGGGAAAATGCATCCCTGGTCAAGTCCTGTAAGTCAAATATGCCCAACTTCTCACCCGCGGCCACTTGTTGCTACCTTGCAAGGGATTCGCCAACAACACAAAATCATCGACCCGCATGACGTGCGCGCGGCTAGTTGCGTGTTGCAGGAAATAAAAGAGAACAGACCCCCCAAACATCATCCAAACATTGAATCATCCTCTCGCAAACAACGGAGGTCGATCCCTTTTCTAGAAGCAAAATGAATGGGGGTTCTCGAGATGGCCCCTCAAAGCGGTTGGTCTAGTCAGAACCCTTGCACGAGCCATCAATGGTTCCGTTGCAACATAAGGGGTCCACGGCCTAATCCTGCACTACTGCGCTGGTTCAGGAGACTTTTCTTGTGACTATGTTGGGCGATGAGGGCCATAACCGCCCCTTGTCTTCAAGTTGCTTAAGCCCCATGAGGAAAAAGCTACATGTCCAGTGACAAAGTCTTTCAAAACCCACAGGGGAAATAACCCATATTCATTTGGGTCTGTCTTTTCTGTAGGGGGACCCCTAACAATTCTGGCTTTCCTCTTCCCTGTCACACTAGAGAAGGAAGAGAAAACAACGGGCCACCCCCCAAAAAAACCGGGGAAATTCATTCGAAAGCAAATGGACCAACGTGGCCCGGCCGGGGGCTGTGCACATCCGCGGCCCCGGGGCCCCCCGCCACCACGGTGCAGGTACTGATCCTCCACGGTGCGGTCGATCACCTGCGGGCTCGGTCGAGCGAGCGAGCGCAACCAAAGAAACGAGAAAGCTCCAGACAAAGCTTGGCTGTGGGTCAAAAAATAGGGCAACCCCAAAATGAAACCCTGGGAAATGGAACCAAGGACTAAAACCTGCGGTCCCCTGGTGGTTTCATTTTGACCCACACCCAGTTTGCAAACAAACAAACAAACAAACAAACAAACAAACAGACAACCAAGGAAGCAAGGAAGCCAGGAAGCCAGGAAGCAAGAAGCAAAGCAAGCGACAAGCAAGTCCTGCTGTGCCCCCCTGCGTCCGAGCCGGAGTAGCCCTGGGCCGGATCCGTCAGCGGCACAGTGGTGCCTCGAGAAGCGCCAAAAACGTGGCGGGGCAAAAAGAATTTCTTGGCAGGGGAAACTGTTAGTCGGCATTTTGAGCGTCATCATGCATGTTGTGGCTCTCCATGTGTGTATATGCATATATATATATATTATATATATATATATATCGAGAGAACCACGTATATACGAATATTATACATAGAGAGAGAGAGGGAGAGTGAGAGAGAGAGAGAGAAATTGATCAATATTCCCAATGACCTTGAAAAACTTGTCCCGTTTTACTGGAGCGCGTCGTATCTTTTTTGGTGGGTTCCCCCAATGGTCATCCCATGTAAAGGACCTTTTGATCAACCCCCATGGGAAAACCTGGTGGGCAACTGTCAGAGCCCATGGCAATCCTGGGATCCCCCCAACAGCCCCCCCAATCCTTGGCGATAAGGTCCCGCTTGGGGCTATATAACAGGGTTCATAGTTCAGACTGGCTGTTTTGGGGGGGCCCTGACAACCATGGGAGGATGCCATGACCACCATTGAAAGTCATGGAAGGTTGTCAGGACCACCATTGAAAGACCGGTTGGGTGAATGTAACTTTACTTCAACAACCACCGTTGTTTGCCTAAGTGTCATCATCTAAATTTGGTCATTGACATTCCTCTTTTGGGGGTTGCACCCTGGGTTAACCCTTTCTGTGATACCAAAGTGGTTGCTTGATCACGACGAAGGTGATTTTTGGGTTTTGAAGGCACTGACCGTAAATCTTTGGCTTTGCCGAAAACCTCATTGATTTCTGCAACTTCCCTCCCAGCCAAATGTGGAAACGGGTGAGCATCCCCCCCCCCCCCGCCCATGCCCCATGTTTCTCCCACTTCCAAAATGAGTCACAATCAAAACCTGGTATTAAAATGGTCTACCCAGAACCAAGTAAAGACTTAAGAAGGCGGATGTCCGCAGCTATTTATGGTTGGGATGGTCCCTTACTGACCTTCATTTACCCGAATCGGTTTTGATTTTGGCTCAAATGGTCATTCCTTAACCCCCCCTTCTCTCAAGTCCTGACAGGATTGGTGAGCAGAAATTCCCAACCTTCGGTTCACTGACTACTGACTGGTCATCCCAAAACGCGTAAAGTCTCGAAGCTGGGGGTGTGAGCTTTTCAAGACCTCGCCGTTTCCGGTCCGGGTGTCCTTTCAGTAGACCTTGCCACCTTTTTGGTTGAAGGATGCGAACCAAAACGACAACCTCGGCCAGCGGTTCTACTCCTCAACCTCTACACTCCCCCCGCACATGGGGCCGGGGGTGTCTTTTTGTCTTGTGGTTTTAAAGGAAAACCATGAGAAAAACATCGCCATTATGCTTGTTTCTTCTTTTTTGAGGGGGGGTCCCCATACATCGGGAAGGTCTCTTGGAGGGTGTTGCCATACTCGCGGTCCCCATACTCGCGGTCCGTGTTGCCAGCGAAGGTGTCCTTTGAGGCGCAAGGTTCTCTTTGCGCACCGCCCGCAAAAGGAAGACGCTTGAAACGGCGCCGGCACTTGCAACGTTGCCCCCGCTCCTTTCGGGCTGGGCCTTGAGATTCCTTTAGGCGCAAGCCCGCGAGGAGGAGCGGCACCAACGATCGAGCGTGTCCCAAAGAAGAAAAAACACGCCGGGTGCTGCAAAACACGTGGAAATGGAGGTTTGAGTCCTGGAAACTGACGTGCACTCACATGGAGGGCATTTGGAAGATCGACTTCCTCTTCAAACTTCTGTCAGGTGTCGTCAGGTTGAGAGGAGGGGTACCATAAGTTGTAAGTAGATGTACATCTTAAACAGGTCAGCACCCAGCACCCCCTGAAAGGGCCTTGTGGTGCTACCTGATTCACCAGGTCCCACCACCACCCTTTTACCACTTCCCACGTCCCACTGACCAAAAAGCCACCGCCCTCCAGGGGAGGAAAAAGAACAGCTTCAGCGGTCTCGGGGCCCGACCTTCATGGACAGGTCCTGCCTTGCCCTCAGCGCGCTGCTTTTTTCATTTTTGACGCCAGAACCCCAAAAGGGTCTTTTTTAGTGGAAGTGGACAGGGGGAACAGTTTCCCGCGAGGCAAACTAGTCTTCCTGCACCTTTCTGTCAGCTTCCATGGGAGATTGATGGCCGCGTGCTTTGGAGGGAGCCGTTCGCTGCGCTCTTCGGGGGGTGCTGATAGAGGTGCAATTTGGGTCTATGCTGGTGTAATTTTATTTATGTAATCCTATCCTAGCCTAGCCTAGCCTATCCTGGCCTAGCCTAACCTAGCCTAGCCTAGCCTATCCTATCCTATCATCCTATCTAGTGAGGTGTCTACCATGGAACCTTTTTATTAGAAGGTTCGAACCCCCATAGCTTTCAGCTATATGGGGAATAAATAATAACATAAATAAATACGAAAATAAATGAATAAATAAGAAACCAGATGTGGTTCCAGCTCTTAAAACATCCGCTTGCAACATTGGTCTTTTCAACAAAGGCGACTACTAAGTCCCCCAAATGGACAGCTATGACTTCTTTGACGTCACAGAAATGAGGCCCAAGCGAAGGGGCGGCAGGGGACTCCTGTGGGTCTCAAACTCGGGACTCGCCGCAGCCCCCCCCCGCCCCCGGACGAGAAAGAAAATCAGCCAAGGTGGCCTCGCAGCAAGTGCCCCAAAACACCAGGGCCGATGTCGCAGAAATATGGTGGATGCCCAAAATCTTGCAAGCAGGGGAACCAAGAAACCCTCCTTCTTGTGGCTCAGTATGGTCGGCTTCCTTGCAATACTGCGGATGGACGAAATCCTGCACCTTTCAGAAGCGGCATAATACGATTCCCCGGCAAATACCGACCTGCTGGAAATCCACCGCTTCTGGTCATGCAAAACCGCTGCGAGACTCGGCCCCCGGGCCACGCTCCAAGGCCACGCCTTGCCGCCGCAGGCGGCGCAGCACATCACCTGCGAAGCGAACCCCAGGGAACCCCGCCGAAGGTCTCCAAAAAGCCACGGCGGGTTGGAGCGGTATGGAAGGAAGGCCTCACGAGAACTTCGGCACACCCAGAAAGTTGTGCAATTGATTTGGGAGGGATTGCAATTGATTTGTGGGGGTGTGGTTTTGCCCAATTTGCACAGGGGAGGCAAAGGAAACCTGTTCTGCATCCTGGAGAGGCCGATCTGGTGCCGGCTTTCATTTGTAGACTCCTTGGGAGACCGAACACCCCAAACACCCCAAGCACACCTTGAAGACCAAAATAGAACAATTCCGGAGGTGTGCTTGGGGAGTCGAGCCGAGGGGGGGGGTATGAGTGACGTCATGATTGACACCCTTCGGCTCGGGGCAGGGGGATCATCTCAAATATCAAAAACCTTTGGTAAGTTCTGCCTTGACAAGGCAGGTTACCGTCACCTCTCAGACCAAGTCCTGAAGCCCACACCTCGACTTCGGGAGAGTCGGAACTGAAATCTACTAGGTCCTCCAGTAGAGAGGTTAGAATCAGGGTACCCGATCATTTTCCGTGGAACCCTCCCCCAAAAAGTTGGTAAAAAGGGCACCGAGCTGGGGGACCTAGTCTATCCAAAGAGGCTGCTGGTCGCAACCTCCGCCTGTTGGAGCTTTACCCCGTTTCAGGGGGCCTGCCGCCCCTTGCCCGACTCAACACTGAGCGACTCGCGGAATTGTTGCGCTTCAGCATTGGGAAAGGGACAGCTCCCCAGAGTTGCGCTCACCTACCGGAAATCGAGGCGGGTGAACAAGCTTGAAACCACCTACAGGAGAAAGAATACGGGAAAGTGTTGGTCGGCGTTTTGAGCTGCATACCGGATATTCTAGAAATTGATCAATGTTCCTGGCCCCCAACTGAGCATGGGTAACTTTTCCCATTTAGTGGGAAACATAGTATATTTAGAGGGTTTCCCCCAATGACCATCCCGTGTTTTGATTAACCCCCATATCTAGGGTATGGTTCTTAACTGGTTTGTACATCATTGGCATTGGGAGAGATGCCCCCATGTTTGACATTACGCATTCGACTCCGTGGCCCTCTCATCGCCCCGCTCGGCGTTTGCCTCCAAAGCACACCCATCCCTAAACCAGCCTTTCTTACTTGTCAAAGCATATCTAGCTGGACCCTTAGAGCACGAAAGAGAGGAGAAGCCAGAGCTTGATTCCTCCCCGATCCAATCCCTACCCTGTTGGATCAAATATCCCCGTTGCAGCTCCCATTTCCGCGCCAGGAGCAGCAGCACGCCGATGGCTGGAAGGCGGTCCTCGGAAAATTGGTGGCTTCGGTCAGGCAGAAGAAACCTAACATGTGAGTCGTTTCCCCAACCACAAAAGGCCAAGAAACCTTATGTGGTTTAAAGAAACCATGGCTTAGGTGACCCCCATGTGGACTTTGCAACTGCCCACAGTACCTTGTCGTGTTCTTGACAATCAGTTGACACACCCGGCTGGCTACGATTCGGGACATTTGGAGGTTTCCCGAAAGCCACCGTCGACTTTGCAAGCCATGTGCTACCTTGCTCGCCCACCTTGTCCTTTCATGCCATGTGGATGGCTTCTGTCCTCCGGTAGAGAGGTTAGAATAAGTTGGTACCCGATTTTTTTGTCTGTAGTCTATTTTAGTACGGGAACCCTCCCCCACAAAAGGGCAAAAGGCCAATACTGGGGGGCCTAGATTTCAAAATCCGCTTCGCGCCGGGTGGCATCAGCGGTTCAGCCAGCATTCACAGAGGTTCATCCATCCCAACAGAGGCCAGGGCGCGGATTTTGTGACCATCCGCAGTATCTGGAGGCAAGGAGTGGCTATAAATTTTCATAGGGAACCCCCTCCAAAGTGGTTGGTGGACATGGATCCCCACCTAAATGATATCCACGAAAGGGTCCCTAAAATTCAGACCCATATGTTGTTTCAGCACCCGAAACATAAGGGATCCTCAGAACCTTCACAGACGTCGAAAACACAGGAAACCCCCGAAAGGAGACGTCAGCATAGATTGGCATCCTCTTACGCTCGCCGCAGATGCGTAGGACAGCCGGCCCCACCCATTTTTCGGCATTCCATCAAAGTCACCCCCGAATTCGGCGGCGGAAAGCGTTTTGGGCGCCAACCCCCTGGAGACAATCATGGCACCAGGCTCCCATCCTGCACTCCCTTGGACCAAATAACACGAAATCATATCCTGAGAGATGGTGGCGGCCGAGCAGGGTACAGATTGATGTTGTATTCTAGAGGTGTTGTCTCTTCTATTTCTCGAAAGCTTGAGGGGGTTGGCTGCCGGGTTGGCTAACAAATGGTTGGCTGACAAATGGGCGGTATGCAAGCTGAAACCCGGTTTATTGTTGAGGTTTCCTTAGGGGAACGAAACTGGGAAGCGGAGGGATTTCGCCACAAAGCGGGAAAACCAAAGGTGGGTTTGGAGGGCTTCCCAGGTACCTTCAAAAACCATAATTTCAAATCCCAAAACCATCCAAACCACGTTCTTGGAACAAGCAACGCCCAAGTCGCTTCCATGCTCTGAGAACTAGTTGTGGACCTCTTTGCCAGGCTGTTTCTGCCAAAAATATTTGCACGGAAGAATTCATCAGCAATGTGGTGTGAGATGCTTTCTGAGGAATTTGACAGAGAAGGCGAGTGGCTCCAAAGCTGGGCAAAGCAGAATATGAGCCCACCTGGCAGGCAAAACCAAGCCACCCATGATGAAGGCGCGTTTCCTTCTTGCATCTTATCAACTAGTTGGGATGGTTTATCGACTACTAAAATCGTCTTTCATCCAGCCCAACTGGCTGGAGATGGATGCGGTAACCATCCACAGCACCAACCCCGAGAGGACAATTCCAGCAATGCCCTGAAAGAAATCGTGTAGACCAACTCCCCCCCCCCAAAAGAAAAATGGGGGAAAACCCCCTTCTACCTCAGCTGCCCCCATATGAAGCGGGCCTTGTATCTCCGTGGGGATTTTAAAAAACCGAGTGCTCCGGGCCAGCCGTGCCACCTTTGGCCCCCGGCCGGTGCCGGCGCCCCCGCCGCTTTCACGGTGATCTGGGCGTAGCCGTCCCGACGCCCGAAGATGGCGCACCTCAGCGCGCAAACAGGTCCCCCAAGTCCGTGGGCTGATTTTCCAAACCGGGAAAGAGGTAGAGAAAAGAAGCAATGATATGGCTGTGGGTCAAAAAAACGGTACCAAAATGGCTGCCCTGGTAAATGGAAACATGGACTAAAACATGCGGTCCATTTCCTAGTGATTTAATATTGACCCACACCCATATGGGCGGCTCGTGGTTCTTTTGGTGCGAAAGGAAAGAGGGAGTCTACTCAGGGTTTTGGAGGTGCAGTTTGAGACGAGGGAGCTATGCGGCGCATGTTTGCCGACCCCTTGAGAAAATGGCCCAAAGCGACCCGGAGGTTCGATGTTTGCAACCGGATCGCCACGCAACTGGGTCAGAAGTGGGCGGCTCGTCTTTGAAAACCGAAAGTAAACCATTGGACGTCCCCTAAAAGCCACTCCCCTGTTTGGTGTTTGGTGAAAAGCCGACAGCGTGGCAACTGCAACGTCTGTGCAGCGGTTGGCCACGTGGGGTGCAAGCCGTGAACGACCGGATTCGCCATCACGGAGCCGAGGTTCCAAGTACCCAGAGGCTCCAATGTAGGGCCTACAGGGATCCTTACATTATACACCTGAACATTGCCTTGTAAATGGTGGTGTTTCAAATGGTTGCAAAATGGAGATATTTTAAGGAGCCCTGATTCAAACAACCTAGTTTTGAGACCCCCCACCAATTCCCGGCGTGTCTAATTTATCGGGGGCAGGTCTTCCATTGGAAGCAGCCAGGAGCCTCTCAGTAGGGTAACTTCGACATAAAGCCGGTCGGAATCTTAGAGAACCAACAAAACTCTGGATTCGGAATCTTAGAGAACTAAACCTTTCGCCATTCCCAAAACTTCAGAAAAGCTCTGGATTCGAAAGGCCGATGCTTGACATTTCCCACGGTTTTACCGGAGGACCAAAACGAACCTTGCTTTGGCTTGATATGCCAAAGACCCGCCCCAAATCTTCGGGGACCCGGTTCCATTTTTTCCCCGAGGCGTTTTTGCGGGTCCCATTGCGGAACAACGACAGGTGATTGGGTACCCTTTTCGCAGAAGGATCGGGCTGTGTGTCAAACTGCGAGGCAACCGAGTTGTTTGAGAAGAAATCTAAACGGACCTTGGTTGATGCATCCGAAACCCGAGACCCAGGATTCAAAGTGTTCATTCTAGTCAAACGTTGAGCCAGGGGCACCCTCAACAATTTCTAAAACGTGGGCGCACAACACCCATTCACCCCTCACCTTGGAACCGTCCGAGAGATCCAACGATGCCAAAATGGCCGAGGTGCCAAACGTCTTGCTGCTGCTGGGCGCGGATATGCACCTTGCCGTCCACCTGATGCAGGGGCAAAATGATGGAAACCAAGACAAACCAACCTGAAGCCCGGGTGCTTGGCATCCTTCTTGGTTTCTCCTTATCTGAGAGACCTTTTAAAAAAGCGGGCGATGTCAAAATGTACAGACTCGAAGCCCGGCTCAAGGAAACAAATCCAGCTGTTGAGCTAACCCACAAAAACGCGCGCTGGGTAAAACCGAATGTCGTTTCAAGACCCTGCCCTCGGTGCGGACTAACTGGCTTGGTTCTGGTCCGAGGCTCTTTGAAGCTCCCGATCTTCGGGGGAGGCCAACCATACAAGACAAGACTTGCTACAGGGTTTCCGAGGTTCGAGGGTCCAGCGAGGCTGTTTGTTTTCCCTGCGACAGCTTTCTTCCGTTTGTGCAGATGTTGACTATATTCAGGGGGCACCCTCCCGTCAGACTCAGGTTTTTCAATTCAACGTCTGTCCACGTTCTATGTTCCTTTGGAAACAAGACATCCTCACACATACCCAAATCAAAAATGCAGCCAACCTTCTCTGCCAAAGGCAATTGCTGCAAATGACCAGACATGGAGCTCCAAATTGAAAGAGCGGGCCCATTTTGCTGGCCCAACCCGTCCAAACCCCTGATTCTGATTGGTGGGAATCACACACACACACACATGTTGTGGCTGTGGGTCAAAACCTAGTACCCCTCATAAACGTCAAAATAGGTGGTACATGGGTGTTTATCCGCCCCAAAGTGGAGGAATAGGTTATGACCCATGGCCATATGATGTTCGCAGCCCCGCGCCAAGTTCTCCAGCGGAAAAAAAAGAAGAAAAGAAAAGAAAAAAGAAGAAACCAAAATGAGAAAAAAAGAAGGAAAAAACAGGAAAAAAGGAAAAAGACAAAAATAATAATACAAAAACGCCACGGCCTGTGTGAGCACGGCGTCAAAATCGAAGAGCGTCTTGGGCGCCGCTTTCGAGGAGGTGAGGACTGGCGCGGACGGAGGCCAAACCCGAAACCGGGGGTGTCCCGTTCTGCTTGACATGCGGCGCTTGAGAAAGCGCTGGCAACGGCCCAAGACTCTTGAGACCCAAAACATGTTGGCCCTTTCACGGACGCACCCCTCCCCCGAAATACATATTTTTACAACAACAAAAAACCCAGGCGCTCCCTGCAGTCCACTTCGGTCCCCACGCAAACACACACACACACACACAACCCACCGAGCCCCCGGCTATGGGAGATCTCCGGCTCCTGCAGGAAGCTCATCTCCATCTCCTTCGATTCGGGCGTGAAAAGAGAAAGCGTCTCAGGAAACTAATGTCTTGCTGCGATAGGGAATGACCCGTGCCGGGTGTTGGGCATGAACCGGAAGGGGATTCCCTAAATAAAACCAAGTCGGGGATGGTTTTTAGAGGTCACTCCCTCATTCCCTGCTGAGAACCAGCAAGATTTTAGTGTGTCTGCTGTTAGGGGGCCAACATGGATTTCGGTGTTCCATTTCTTGCCCCACATTTTCTGCGCAGCTGGCTCCCCTCTTGGTGCTTCCACACAGTCGCCCGGACACCCTGTACATGGACAACAAGCGAGAGAGGTGTTGCTCGAAACTGGACAAGGACTTGGCTTTCTAACACACCGCCCTCGTTCGCGCAAGCAAAAAAAACGGCTCTCACGGGACCCGTCGAGTCCCCATACGGGTCCTTTTTTTTTCTTTCGGAGATCCCTAGGCATCGTTGGACCAATCTCTGGGTTTTGAGAGAACCATTCCTGGCACTCGTATCTTTTAAGGGGATCTTAGGTAGGGAATGGGAGTTGGACCTATCCAACTGGTGGCTTCCATTGTGATCGGAAGTGGTTTGAGTCGCTGAGCAAATCAACGAAGCTTTGGCACGCCCTGTCCCAAGGCTTGGGATAGCCCAGCCAGAACCAAGCTGAGGGACAGCTGAGCTCCCCCCAATTTCCCTTTGGGCAAAAGCTAGCTGCCCCAAAAAACCCGGCAAAGCTGACCTTTGTCTGGGATCGAGCCCGCAAGCAGCTGGGAGAAAAAACGAGAATGGTCCTCCAGGCCATGGACGTTCTCCAGATGGATCAGCGTCATGCGGTCCCGGAAGACCCGCACCTGACGTTCATTCCCCATTCCTCTTTGGCCTGGGTCGCTGAGCCTCTGAACACATGGGGGCTGGACGCGCAGGAGATGGAACTGGGAGAGCCCCCCCCAAAGCGTTTTTAAGCTGTGGATGGACGAAATCCTTGCCAATCGGCACCAGTTGGTAGGCAGTTTGTCCGCAAATCAAATGTCATCGCTCCCAACCACCCATCGATTTGGGCTTCCTCTAGCTTCACACCATGGACTTTCACCAACCCAAAACTAACTTCCGGGTGCTCAGCAGGGAATGACCCGTTCCGGGTGCTGGGAACGAACCGGAAGGGGATGCCGGATTCCCTTAAAGGAAACCATGGGGGACGGTTTGTGGGGTCCTTCCCTCATGCCAAGCACCAGCAAGAAAAGCGCGCTTTCATCCGCGCTTGTTTTATTGTTCATGTTCTCGAAGGCGATTGGTGAAGCATGGTTTGGGGCGGCCCAGTTCACTCCTGGAATTGTTAAAGAGGGAAACCAAAAGCAGTTGAGGGTTCAAACTGATTCTAATCCAAAGCCACACGTCAACTGTCACCGTTGAAAATATGTCTTCTTTTAGGGGATCCTTCAAAATGGCGGGTTTCCTTTTTGTTTTCCTTTAAGAGCACCGAAACAGGGGTACCCTGAAATACACACCCAACTGGATCTTCGGTCAAGAAGTCAAATCCAATTCATGGCAAAGAATCAAAAGGCCGGTAAGCTTTGTGACTTCAAACCATCCAGCCAGTTGCCCAGTGACGTGCCGAAATGCGAGTGACGCCCGCAACCGAGGCAATCCATCCACGCCGGGCACACACACACACACACATGCCAGGGCACCTGGACAATGTTTGCATAGCCCCAAACAAAACCGATCCCCAAAAAATTGCCAAAGTCCAGGCATTGGAGACTGATCTCCCTCAAAAAACGCAAATGTGCAAACATAGCCCCAAACAAGACGGATCCCCCCCGAAATGTTGTTGCCGAAGCCCGGCAATTGGAGAGGAAAGTGATCGATCCGGTCCTCTTTTTCTCCGGCCTGCATGTGCGCCACGGCCTCTTGCCGGATCTCCATGGAGTACATAAACTGCTTCCCGCCGGGGTACTCCTAGCAAGGCGAAGCAAGGCAAAGCCCATCAGGCCACGGGAGCCAACCCACATGAGGGATACCTTCCATTTCTTTCCAGGGATCCGGTTTTCTTTTCAGGAAACCAGCAAAAACCCAAGGGGAAACAGCCGGCTTTTGGAAAAAGAACGAGGGTTGAAAAGAATGGAAAAGGAATCAACCCCTACATGTGAAAGAAACCCGGTGCCCTGATGGAACACAGTTGCATACTCTACAAAACCGGAGATCCATCCAAAGCTACCTTCCCAACGGCGCTTGGAGCTAGAATCGCCTTGGGGTCCGTTAGGTTACCCCAAAGCCCGCAGAATCCTGAGGTTTGCCATCACGAAACCTGCCGCCCATCGCAGGGCGCAGCGCTCCTGCGTGTGCGTGATCTCCACATTCCGCAGATCCTGGAAGGGATTGTAGAGGTCTGCTGTCCTCGGAGCGAACGTGTGGTTCAAATCGGTGTGCTTCGTTTTGGTGGTTGGAACCGTCTTGTTGGTCTTGCAGGGAAACAAAACAGGAAAACAAACATTCGCGGGAGCCACCAAGCCTGCTCACCCGCGAGAATTGTTTATTTGGAGCCTGTTTGGAATCTTGTTTCGAAGTGTCCCGCAGCCTTTCTGCGGAGCAAGGCAATGCCTCGCTTCCACAAAAAGAACGGCACCTGTGCACCGGACTGGAAGCCTTGCAGCTGGAAGCTTGCAGCTTGAAGCTGTGCAGTTCCCTGTTGGGAGTGGAACCCTAAAAGTTGCAACTGGCCTCAGCAAAGTCACCCCGTACATCTTGGTTGACGTTGGAAGGGGAGCAAAAATCTAAATTTTAGCAGCTAAGCTAAGTGGGGATTTCCCACTAAACCACATGACATGGCAGGTTGCAGGGAAACAACCCCATGTGCTGACTTTGATACCCCCAAAAAACCGTCAACATAATGACCCCTGTGCAAAGGGACGGGAAACACCTGGTGAGCACCGCCGTGAGTGGCTCACTTGCAGTTTTGTTTAGGAATACGCCCCGAGGACCATAGGTGTCCTCAAAAAAACAAAAAGACACGGCCCTGGTAGATGATTGAACCAGCAGGTAAACCAGGGCCTTCTATGTTGTAAGCAAAACAACCAAAAAGGACACCTATGCCGATGACGATCTCGTCTGGGATCCCTTGTGCCGCAGCAAGCCCGTTGAGGAAAAATCCACAACTCAACACACCTAATCCTCCCCCAAACCCTGGCTGAACCAAGCAGCAAACAAGAAAGCAATGGCGCCTCTTCAAGCCGGTAGGGTCTTGTCGCCCAATTGGGACGCAAAACCGAGCTTTGGCTTCCCTTTCCCTTGAGAAAGACCCACCCAAAAAGCCTGGACTCATTTGAGCCCCCCCAAAAAGTGGCTATGTTTTCCGTAAGGAAAAGCCAAGCCAAGCAGCCCAAAAGCCAACAAGCCCGAGAAGGCAAAATCCCGGAGAAAAAAAGCAAAATAAGAACGGGAAGCATTCCCGCAAAAACATCGCCCTCCTTTTCCTAGACTCCAAATTCCCACGCCCCCTCAAACCCCCCCCCCAATCCCGTCACCCGTCACCCCGATGGATCCGAGGCTGCGGCCAGCTCCTCGCCGCGTCGGGCACGGCCTGGTCCTCCACCAGCATCAAGTCCGCCGAGCCGGAGATCGGCCTCCGCATCGAGGCAAGGCCCGGCGCGGGGGCAAAAAAACGGAAACCGCGGTATGGTCATGGTGTCCTCAAGTTCTTTGTTCTAGTCACCTTGAGAAAGGTTCTGTGGATGCTTGCGAAATCCATTTCGCACCACCGAAACGAGATGCAAGGTGGATTCCCCTGTAAATTCCAAGAAACAGTCCCGTTGAACCAACCCCAAAGAGGGTGCTCCAAATCGGGAGATAAACCAAAGGAATCCACATGGTCCCTACATTGAAGAACTCCCAAATCAAGAAAACGCAGACAAAGGTGCACCAAAACCCTTCTTTGCACATCTGAATGGAAGCGACCGAGACGACCGCAGCTCTTAGCCTTCGCCTGAGGAAGCCGAGCCCGGGTTCGGATCCATCGTGCTTTAGCCCATGACCGCCCGCCACCCGACATCCGAGCCCTGCCTCGCCCCATGCCGCCTGTGGTGCAGTATCCCCACGAAGAGGTATCGCGTCTCCTGCTTCAGAAAAAGGAGAAAAAACACATGGCACACACAGCTGGCCAAAACTTTGCCATCCTGCCAAATGCCACTCCTACTAACCCGTCACTTAGCACGGAGCCGAAGAGTCTGTGGAGGAAAATTGTCGCGGTCCATGGCGAGTGGGAGGTCTAGAAGAGGGTAGCGCAAGCTCATGTGCAGTGCCGGCTCGTCTCATTCCCAAGGCTGAGTGAATTTGGTCGTGGTTGACGCCCTGGCAATTGTGTATCGGGAACCCACACGGAAACCACGGGGTAACCCTAAGTAAGGTGCTTGAACCATGGCATGACATGCTTCCATAAGCAGGATCCAGACCCCAGAAATGTTACTTCCCTTCAAGCCAAGCGCAAGTTCAGGACGCCTAGTAACTTCAAGCTGTCGAGGGAAAAATCGTTGACCTCAACTCCACTCCACTCCACTCCAATCCACCCCCTCAATCAACCGAGGCCAGGCCGAGCAGGACCCGCAAAACCCGCAGACCCGGTCCGTGCGGCCGTCTTGCATGCACTTCGCCGCCAGGGCAAGGCAGTTGGTGCAGCAGTTGCAAACTCGGCGGCGCGCGCGTGCCGTTTGCAGCGGTTGCGTGAAGGCAAGGACAGAAGTTGGTTGCCAGGCAAAAATGATCAAAGTGAACTGCAACTGCACAGATTCATGTGGAAAGAGGAAAATGGTATGATGCAGCTGTTGCGCTGCTTTCCGTTAATCTCCCCGATTTGTCAACCTAGTGCCTGATTTTTATGGCCGGGTTCCCGGATTGAAACTTGGTGCTCCCAAACGAACCATTGATTTCCACATTCTCCTTTGGGATTCCGGGGCCGCATCGTGTCTAGGGACACAATTTCTGCCGCCAACCCGAGTCTGCCCTTCTTTTCTCCTTTCGACCCAAACTCATTCTGTGGGGGTTTCTTTGTGGTTTCCCAATCAGTCAACCTCAAAAGCTCCAAAAAAGGAACTAACACACACCCACCGCAGTTGCCCTGGGCTATCCGGGCGCCCGCAGCGCCCATCGTTGCTCGTCATGCAATCCATGCAACTCCCGCAGCTCACCTCTCGCGTTGAGCGCCGATCGCCAACGTTGACAGATGGCTCTAGGGGTTGATTCCAACCATTCGTTTCAGCCATCGTTCTTCTCAAAAATCAGCCATTTCCCCAGAGTGTTTGGTGGTTTTCTAGAAAGAGGGATCCCTGGAAAGAATAGGGACCCCTAGAATTGCGGTGGTGGTCAAAAATAGGGCCCCCCGCCCCAGTGAATGGAATGGACAAGAAACCTACGGTCCATTTCCTGGTGGCTACACTGCCCGATTTAGTCGGTTGACATGCCCTTTTGTGGGCGGGGGAGAAGGAGTATCCCCGGAATCCCTCCGTCCCGGAACCTAGGTTGGGATCTCGGGCACAGAAAACCGGTGGCCGTGCAGTGCCGCGCAGGGGTTGAGCCAGATCGCAAAGTGGCTGGATTCCCCGAGCAAGTCAAAGGAAACTGAGCTTCACAAGCACATTCCAATCTGGCGGCTGCGTGTACCTTTAGTCCAAGTACCAGCCCGTTTCACCGTGCCGAGCAAAAACGGCCGGCTTCCGGCTGCTTTTGCCGTGACTCCCTCCACGTGGCCTTTTGCCCCCGCCTGGAACAAGGGACCTCCAAATGAGGAAGAACAATCCTGTCCACGGGGCAACATGAAATTCTGAAACCTTACTGGGGCCCTTGCGCTGAACATCACATGTTCCTCCAAAGGGACCATTTCTCTGGTGGGTTCCACGCCAACGTGCACAGACGGGTACTTGGCAAGTGGGCTACGACCATTGTCAACCAACCTTGTTGTCCCACCTATAAGCGAGACCTAAGTGGGGTGAACATCCAAGTTGGAAACACCCCATTTGCTTTCTGAAATACGCCAAATGCAACAAAAAGCAACAAAGAAACCACGCAGCAAAAATAAGTATCCCAACAGCATGCGGCGCTCGTTTCAGTGCTCGCAGGAACCCTAGTGGAGCTTTGGTGGAACCCTGGTGGAACCCTCGTGGAACCTTACCTCAGGGCCGCCCGGACCACCCCGGAGCCTATCTGGGCTGAAAACCCCAAGGCTTTCAGCTGTTGGGGTTCCTGAGTGGAAAGGCCACAGAACGTCCGAACTGTTCCGCTCGCCACGAAACTGGTCCAAACCCAGAAAGTGAGAGGAAGAGTCCATGAACTCAGGGAGCGAGACAAAAAGAAACGCGGGCAGGCCCCGCCTCGCACTGTTGCGCCTCTGGGCCCGAGCAGCCTGACATGACTGACTTGCCTTCCCGGGTGCAAACGAAGCGGATGCATGGGGCACGCGTAGGAAGGGGGGAAAAACGGCCTTTATGAGAGAGATGTGAGGGAGAGAGATGAGAGAGGGACGAGAGAAGGAGATGATGAGAGGATGAGATAGATGTGATCAAAGTGCCCTCTTCAAAGGCCGATCTGCTAGTTTGTGGTTGCGGTTGAAGCGATTCCAGCTGGGTGGGTTGGGGCGGGCTTCTGGGCTCATTCTTTGGAAGCTGTAAACCCTAAACCTGCCTGGAGCATGGCTTTATGCAGGGAGAATGATAAGCCTCAAGGCTGATGACTAAGAATGCAACCGGGTCGCAAGTCATGAGGCAACTGTCCCTCGGCTTTTTGGCTTAAACCAGGACAACTCCTGCTTCCCTTCAACAGGTCGAAGGCATAGGGAACAAAAGTTAGTTAAACCTGTCTGCGGTACCGTTCACAAAGACTAGGAAAACAAAGCACTCTGGCACCTTTGAATTCATGTTGAAAAATAAATGCAAAAAATAACATGGAGTCAGCACAAGACATTCTCTACCCCAGCCACCTACGAATCCCTGCGCAATTGGTGTCATTTGTGAGGCTACCCCTTTCAGGTTGCTCAAAAAAGGGAAGCCAAGAAAGAACGAAGCCGTGTTGGGTCCCAGTCCAAATGTTTTTGGGCACGTGCCACAACAGGCACCCCTTCAGAAGCAAATGATAGTTCTTCTGTTGGCTTCCCTTTAAACCCAAAATTAGAAAGACGTGTTCCGTTTGATTCTACATTCAACCACCCAAACAAAAGGTAAACGAATGTACTTGCCCTTTCGGTGTCCCTTTAAACCACGCAAAAACAAAAGGAACCTCTCCAAAAAAATGGAAAAGAAGAAAAAGAGGAACCTCTTACCAAAAAAACACACACACCCACAAAAAAAAACGGCACACCCAGCTCCCTCTCTGACCCGATCTTCAAGCTGAGGCTGGCGCTAAGATCGCCGGCACAGGCCGCCAGCGCCTGGCTGCACCTGAAAAATCCCCCAAGCCGCGGGAAACAAACATGGCTGTGGTTGTCAAAGACAATGGTACGTATTTCTTCTTCTTCTTTTTTTTTTGGGGGGGGGGGCCCTACAAAACAAAAAACACTCATGTGGCTTTCGGATCATGGGTACGTCAAAGCAACACTCTACAAGTTCGTGGAGATCCTGTCTCAGAACATGTTGTTGTTTCGAGGTTCACAACATATGGCTGTGGTGGTCAAAACCATTTTGGTTGGTAGGTGAATTCAGAAATTCACCACCCATTTTAGAACCTATCCTGGGGCTTCGCCATCACCAGCTGCGCTGCCCGGTCGGACAGGTGAGATGGGGAGCACTAAGCAGACTTGTTTAGGCGGACCTTGTTTCAGAGCCTGACCTCCGGACCACCCAAGCACGCGCTCGCTGCGAACCCACAGGCACAAGAGGCTGCAAGGTTGCTTGCCCAACCCCCCTGACACTGAGCATGCACTCACCCACGCTAGCTTGAGCGCATGTGTGCCTGCTTGCGTCTGGCGCTTGCGTCCGGCGCGCGCGCACGCAGCGCACGTGTCTCACACCGAAAGCCAATCAGAACAAAAAATGCATCCCCGGCAGCCCGTCCCAGCCCCACAGAAACCGGTGGAAAAACGCGGTATGCGCGATGTTTTCCGCACAGCAGCGGCGGCCACACTTGCGCAAGAAAAACCGCCTACTCGATCGCAGACTTGCCCGTCATGTCCGCCTGAAGGGTTTGAGCGATGCAGAGGTTGCAGGGGATGTAAGGGATGCTGAAACGCCCAGATGCTGGTGATGCAGGGAATGCCGGGGATGCTGGCGAAGTTTGCGAGGATGCAGAGAATGTTGGTGCGGATGCTGGCGACTTTCTGGGGCGATTTGCGCGCTTTTTACAGTGTTTTTTGAAGGTCGGGCAGGCAACGTGGCATCAGAAGCCCGTCGCAAGGCCAGGGAGGTCGGGGATGTTTTGGGGTCCAAGTGTTTGGGCCGGCCTGCGTGCAGGTCATGCAGGCAATGCGTCAGCCGCCCTCGCTCTTCGAGCTCGAAGATGGGATGTTCACTGGGGGTACGATTTAGATTTTGACCCATGGCCACAAGTCGAATTGATTTATACCCAGTCTCGGTTGCTGTTCACCCCCACAAAAAGTTTGTACTCGGAGCAAAAAGTGAACCTGGGATGGCCATGGGGCCAGTACCCCCCAGTGAACATCAACCAATCCCCAGTAAAATAGGCTCTAAAATGGCTAGTGCACCAACCCCAAAATGGTACCATTGGTTTTGACCTTACCATGTCCCGCGTGCTTACCTCAGAAATATTGACATGTGAAATAACTTCCTGTCCTTTTGTTGATGTTCAAGGGGGCCTCCAAAAGCAAGGAACAGCCACCTAGGCGTGGGGGCACAAAACAAAACTTCAAGTCTTCTTAGTAATAATACAGGGAAGCCCTCCCTTGAAGAAAGAAAAAACACGCAACCCACAAGACTCTGGGGATTTCCGCAAATTGGTTCAGTTTGGGGGCATTCCCGGGACCTGAGAGCCAAGTTGGCCGCCTGAATTCCCGAAAAGGTTTTGCTTCGGCGCTTCCTCCACTCGCAAGAGGAGTCCAAAAGCGACAGCCAACACCTGCCATGGCTCATGAAATGCCACTTGATTCTGACTTGCTCTACTTGTGAGGAATTGCCCCCCCATAAACCATGCAACTGGTGGCTTCCTTTCAAGGGAATCCCCTTCCGGTTCATTCCCAACACCCGGAACGTGTCAGTCCCTACTGTCGAAGAACTATGATGTCAGGATTGACGTCATACCCTAAAAATGGTGTGTTGTGGATTTGGGGGGTGGGCCGAAGGTGTGTAGGCACAATCAAAATACTACAGTCTCCCCTTGATCCTGAGAGTCAAGCAAGAGGAAAGCATTGCTTGTTTTCGTGATCGAACTTCACAGTCGCTTGCTGCCCAAGTGCTTAAGGTAGCTTTTGAATAGGAAACATTCTCCGGCTCCGGGTCCCGCATCCAAATTACCCATGGCATTTTCTTTTTTGGCTTGTTTCCGGCAAATGCAGCGCTCATACCAGGGTTCGTACCAGTAGTTCATAAGGGGGTCACGGGGCAAATCACTAGTCACAAACCGGAAATAAGAAAGACCCCCTACGGACCTTCACCATGGGCGAGTTCGTTTTACCCCCTGAGCTGATCATTTGCCCAGCAACAGTGGATGTTTCTGCCATGTTGCAAGTAATCAAACAAGGAATCCCTCCAATATATCTAGGGGTTGATTCCAACCATTCTTTCCAACCATCCTTCTTTCCAAAAGCCGGATCCGTTTTCCCTGGGTTTCCCTGGAAAGAAGGATTGGAAAGAATGGAAATGGAAGGTACCCCTGGAAATATACCGCGTTTTTTTTCATGGTTGTGTGGATGTGGTGGGTCTTGCACTATTTGCCGCATCCACCTGGGTCACATTCAGCCGGACAGTTGCAGATCCCACCCAAAACGTGAACGAAGTCCCATCAAGACACTAAAATATGCTGAATTAAAACCTGATGTTACATGTACTGTAAACCTAAGAAGACTTTGAATACTGTGTAATCAAATATCAAAAAAGATGATCAGAGGACAAGGTAAATAAGATGTCACTAGTCATACAAAATACATATTCAGCACAAGAACAATAGTCCTATAATTGGGGGAGAGATAGGAGCGAGCTAATGAATCAATCCAGATTATATTAGTTTTTACTTTGGGTGTCATAGTCATATATCATCTGGATCACTTCTGAAGCCGCATTCATGTTAGGATTCCTTGAGAGACAAACCACAGAGAAGACTTAGTTCAGCAAATCTTGACCAGAGGATCATTTACAGCTTCTATCCTCATGACTCATCCACATTTATATTATAACTCTTTGTTTTGGCTGTAGATCCCTTCCTTCTTACGCAGCCACATCAAGAATTCCAAAAAATCCAACATTACAAGTTCTCAAAAGGAAGGGAATGATAAGCCGCAAGAAAGCCAATACAACACAACACAAAACAACATAGCACAAGACAACAATACAATACAAGTGCTGTATAGCCTCACTACAGCACAACCTAAGGTACACAGGCCAATAGACATCCATTGCGGCTTTCGGGATGCTTGTGCGCCTTGAACACGAAAAATGTACAGCAATATGTGTAACAACAACACTCAATAGTGCTAAAAATGTTTAACTCGTAATCATGATGATAATACAAACAACAATGTTCATACTGAGAATGAAACGGCGTTTAACAAGAAACCTAAGGTGTACTGGAACTACTTGAGTCTGCTTTCTGCGCGATTCTGCGCACTGCGAAACGGCCGCGCGCACTTCGGAAACAAATGGTGAACCCTCTGCGGACTTTCTTGAGCGGGAAATTGAAAGAAAAAGAGAATGATACTAGTAGTCACCATAGACATGTATGCGAAAAACATGCATAAAAAGAAGAAGAAGAAGAAGAAGGAGGAGAAGAAGCGCAGAAACCAAACCAGTGCCGCCAAGGTACTTTGGCTGCAGGCAAGCTTGGCAGTCGTGACTGCAGGGCGCTTTGTCCTCGCCCTTCACCTAAAAGAGGGCTTGGGGTGAGCTCTGGTTAAACACACCGCACTCAAAGGGCTTCATGTCTGGAATTATGTCTGGGGCTGCCTCTCTTGGCAAACTTGTTGTTTAGTTTCGTATTTAGGGGAACCATTACAAACCGTGCTTCTTGGATTTGTTGCATTTTGAAGAGCCAGGATACCTTCCTGCCTTTGTTTCTTCAAGAGTTGACATGTACGAAAAGGTAAGGTAGGTATTGGGGTGGGAGGCACTGCGAAAATGGAGCAAAATACCAGCAAATGCC